AAAAAAAGGAATTTGAAAAAGAAATCGTAAAGGTAAATTCCCGAGGCCGCGGCGCAAATCAAGGACCATAATGGCATGGCAACCGCGATAACGCCGAGAAGGTCGAGACTACGTTCGATTAGACTCTTCTGATCATCCTTATTCTTAGACGTTATGTTGTTTGTTTGTTGGTGGGAGGCGGGATGAGGTCAGAGTGCTGCGCAGCTGTATGATCAAAGGGGGGCGGTCCTGCGGCGACTTCCGCGAGGGGTTGTGGGAGCGGCGCCCGGTGCCTCGGAACCCGGCGAGATATCGCTGGAATTCAGCGCTAGGTAGAGATTTTGAGCCTGGCAAATCCAAGTGGCTCAGCCCGTGTTTGTAACAGTCAAAAGAAATAGATAATTTTCCATGTTGGTGTGCCAGGTTGCGAGCCACCACTGGGCTACGACAATTGTGTGGCTAAGGGCAGCAGCCATTGTCGTAATTGTCATTGGCTAAGCCATTGGCTGTAGGTATGGTGGAACTCCAGAGAAAAAAAAAAAAAAAGTTGCGCCGCGGCGACGGGGTGTAGGGGGTGTCTCCCACGTAAACAAAGGCACCAATTGCGCCCGATATCAGGGAATTAAGGTAGATTTATCGACGTCGTACCCTATCGCTGGTTACGGTGGGCGGTGGCGGCGTGGCCCACGTGACCCCTCCACATTTGCGGCATTAAATCCCGATCGCCGGCGATTGTCGTGACGATTCCTGGCGAGACGCCGCACAGCGCCCGCCGAATTCGGATGTCAACGCAAATCGCGCAGGGCACCGGAAGTTGTATGATAAGGTTTATGCTGTTGATTACCTTGATCATTCACCGAGGAATCTAAGTAGATAAGCGATCACTTAAGGGTCGGCGTTCAAGAGACTACCGACTAACCTCTTTGTGGCTCGGTCTCACCGATGGGCCAGGTGTTTGTGAGACACGGTCTAGTCCTAACTCGTGGTCTATAACTCAGTCAGTTTTGAATAACTTCGGATAGATTTACTTACAATTCAGACAGAATTTATCTCGCTTTGGGTGGGTATTGGATACGGATATTTTTTTTGCTGTAATTATGGTTATCGTATTTTAACAGAATTGGAGGTCAGTGACAGATTACGGAATTCGTAATAGCAGTAGTGATTGGTGATTGGAAGGTCACGCAGAACCTTTAACATTCGATTTCAAATTCGAATTTATGAGTTGGGGGCATGATGACCTTGTGCCGATTGCATATGGTAATATTCATCGGAGATTCACAAAAATCTCATCGTATTCCTTACTAACACAATTGACTGTAAAATCGAGATTTTTTGTGATCCTTGATCAAGAAGATATGACAACGTAATGAACGATGATCAATCGTAACGCAATTGCTTCATTAGTCATTTATTACCGTTCGTGTGGTCTGTCTCATCTCTCAACACCTTAATGGTACTTGTCACCATAAAGAAAAATAGAACTACACCGGGAATTATCTGTAATTAATCGTCTCTATTTTGCTATCGTTGTAATTAAGTGTTATACAGGTTTGTTGTCGTGAATCATATCAAAAAGACGGTGTACGTCTTCTCTGATTGTGCCAGTAATAGTTCGTGGTCTTAAAGCAGTGACATAGGTCAATGCCGTGTAACCACCAAATCATTGTAGGAGTAATTTCAATGGTTGGGTGCCTCGAGCAAACACGAGCAAGTCACTGTCGTCAGCCTCCTTGTGTCCATCATCGATCACCACTGATGCATGATTATTATGGGAGGGTGGTGGAGAAACTTCCACCACGTCGTCGTCGATTTCTTGTACGTCATCGACTTCTTGCACATCGTCAACTTCTTGTACGTCGTCGACTTCTTGTACGTCGTCAACTTCTTGCACATCGTGGTCGTCATCTGACTCTTTAGCTTCAATAGTTTCAGCGGGCAATTGGGGGACGGGTCCGATGATCACCCGCCGGTTCAGGTAGCACTCCTGGGTGTCGACGCGGACGCGCCGGCTGGTCTTGCACTGCGTAAACGTCCGCAAGTGCCATTTCTGCTGGAGAAACACCCTGCCACAGTTGAAGCAGTAGTAGGCACGTTCGATGGGGAAGCCTGGGATAGGCTTGTGGATGTTTTGGGGGATGTCGACGACGGTACACTTCTGGAGCTTGCGGCGGATTCTCCCGCGGAGCTCTTCGCCCAGGGTACGGTGCCACTTCTTTAAGTGAGGGTCAATCTGGCGAGGGAGAACCACTTGCAGGAAATGGTGTTCAGCACACACGTAGAGGCCTGATTCGTCGTGCTTGTACACCGCCAATTGGTCGTCGTCGTCAGATTGGTCCGTCGTCGATCGGTTGTCGTCGTCAGACTGATCGCTCTCCGCCGATTGGTCGTCATCAGACTGTTCATTTGCCAATTGGTTGTCGTCGTCAGATTGATCATTTGCCGCCAGATGGTTGTCATCATCATCATTGTCATTCTCCGCCTGGTGGTTATCGTCAGGGGGATCAATTGCTGCCACTGAGATATCATCCGGGGGTTCCTTCACCGTCACTGGGGTATTTTTCGGGGGCTTATTCGCCGCCAACTGGTGGTCATCATCACGCTCGGTGTCGACAACACTAACATTATAGCTATTGTCCTCCGCATTTGGGTCTCTAGGAAGCGTGCCGACAATCACCCACTCGCCCTTGCAGCAGAGCTGGGCCAGCACTTGCACCTGCTTGTGGACACCGCACTTTTGGCTGTGATTGTGCTGCCAAATATTGCGGTAGACGCGGTGACACTCGTAGCAATACGTCGCCTTTTTGTTGATGGGGATCTCGGGGAGCTGCGTGTGCACAAACCCCGGCACCAGGGTGGCTGTACCTTTGCTGAGCTCCTCGCGGAGCCGATCGCGGATCGCCTCCGAGCACAGCAACACCATGTAGTGGTGCAACAAGTGGTCTTCGAGCTTGCGGCGGAGCACCACCTCGGGTTTGTGGCCCTCAGCACACACGGCAAGCCCCGTTTCCTCGTGGATGTGGACATTGACATACATGAGGGGCTTCTCGGGTAGCGGGCCCAACACCACCAACTTCTGGCTGTAGCACTCCTGGCACGGCACCAGGAGCTGGAGGCTGGTTTGCGACGGTTGCTTACACACGTGGGTGCGGCGGTTGGTGATGGGGATGTAGCACGTATAACAGAAGATCCCTTCCGATATGGGGATTAACGGGAGCGGTGTTAAAACGTTGGGTGGGATATTGGTGGCAGTGCCGCGTGAATACGCCTGGCGGAGCCGTTGGCAGTAACTATCGGTCCACTGGGGGTCGTCATGGTACAGCATAAGATGGTCGTCGACGTGGTCGGGAAGCACCACCTGAGGCTCGTGGCCGTCAGCACAGACGACTAACCCTGATTCCTCGTGTAAAAGTACCCGTGGATCTTCGTCATTTACCGGTACGGTATCATTGATATTGTATGGTGACATCAGCGGGTGGATCACGGTATTGGCGCAGTGGTTGCGGTACAGATGGGGCGAGTTATCGTTGGGTGAAGTAGAGGATACTACCGATGACGCCCGGTGTAGTTCCGGCGACACCGATGAGGTCATCGTGGATCCAGCAGTACTCGGTGGACGTGCTGGCTGAAATGGAGGGGGACTCATAGGATTTGGTGGAGCGTAGTGGGGTTGGGGTGGGGCCGAGGTATACGATACGGGAGGACTTGGTTGTTGGTTGGCGTATGCCGCTGGACCTATGGGAAATCCGGCTCCATTGACGGCGGAGGCGCTATACGGGCTTGGATACACTGAATCATGGGCCAGGGAAAGTGGCGGCGAGTAGTAGATATGGTTTTTACCGACAAACGGCGGCGATTGGTAAATTTGGGTAAGCGAAGGGTACGCGTGGTCGGGGTCGACATGGGGGCGAGTCCTCGGGGGTTCCGGCAGTTTGAGTCGACCACGTTTCCGTAGCGTCCCCTGGTGAGGGTATACACTCATTGGCTTTCAGCGGAGAACACCGGGTAGTGTAGGGACGTGGGGCGTGTGGTGAGACAGTGTTTGTGTGTGTGATGCGCTCCCGAATTCGCACCCTTTTACGGAGCTTCACCCCTGCCACAAAAAGCTGGTAGACGACAATAAATATAGGTAAAGGAATTTCAGCGAGTCGTTAAGGTGTTACGCTTTATTATGGATATTGTTTGTCAAGCCCGTATGGGATTGATATAGAACACAGCTGGACCCGTAGAACAGGGTTGAGTGCTTCAACGTGTGTGTCATTATTGTGATAGATGACAAGTTGTTGGTGTATCTTTAGTGGGGATTAGCGAATTGACAATGGTAAACGTCGGTGGAAATACAAATGGGAAACTACTAGTATTGGGTATTCTCGGAGTCTTGACCGTGACGTCAATAATAAAACAATTTCAATATGACAGGGTGAGCCAAACCTCATTGACCAGAGTTATCATGTAAAAAGTTCTATGATCACCTCCTACTATTTGGTCATCGGTACTCTAATCATAGTCAACACCTTCAAATAATCACATTTAAAGCTATCCATCAGTGAGGCTGTGTCAACCAGCCATCTCTGATCCCATACAGACCCATGCCTATATCAATCCAAGAGTCCCACCTAATTAACGTTTCAGAATCATATTAAGTACCCTTCAATACAATCTAAAACCTAGGCTCTAACCTAGCCTTCATCGTAGTCATCGATCTGTGGCTTACTGTGCCTACTTAACGCTCGTGGTGCGCGGCCGCTCCGTCATGGACCGCGGGATCAGCTTGAATGAGATCCTGATCCATTCAATTGGCGGCACCAGCACGCCGCCGTACACGGTGCCGCTGTTCCCCCACCAGCCGGCGGTGCTCAAAGACCCCGAACGCATGTTTGTCGCCCCGCCCTCGGCGCACCTGGCCGAGCTGCCGACGTGGACGTTCTCGGAGATCACCGCCTCCATATCGACGATAAAGGACGATGACCCTTACCAGATTGTCGCCAGAGGTAACGACTTGGCTACTTTACTCAGGACCACGCCTCAGCTTAAGCACGATCTTGTGTTAAAGCTGTTTTTGAATAAGATCGCCTATATGTTTTCCCACCAGGCGCTGGAAGTGAGAGCCGTGGGGTACCGTTTACTCAGGCTTATCATCACTCTGGACGAGTCGCTACGAGCGTTGGTCCAGCTGAAAGTGCTTATTTTGATCATTATGCTGCTTTCGACGGCGAAACTGGCGGTGACGGAAAAGGAGCAGGCCATCAAGCTTGTGCGGCAATTTCTCGTGATTGAAAACGGCGCTGATTTCTTGAGTGTCGGTGTGATTAAACTGTTGATTGCGTTAGTGGAGTATGAGCCTGACGACGACGATATCGAACCGGCAGTGGCTATCCCTGATTTACTAAAACAACAGGCCCTCCAGGTGATTTCAGAAACGTGTCTCGTTAAACCTGCTCTTGTGTTTCTTCTGGGAGGGTTTCGAGTGCTTTTGGCAGCGGTGGCGGAGGCTCCGTTACCGGTAGCCATGAACTGTTTAGTGTTGCTTGTGACGACATTAGACACTAAACATACACGCAAATTCCTCCGCAACGGGCTTGATTTTAATTCATTATTTGCTCCCTTCCACGAGGCCGTGGATAATGAGGACGAGCCCCTGGGGCGCAAACCGCTGGCGGTGTCGACGGTGCGGCTCCAGCGGGCGAGTTTAGTGGCGGCGGTATTGTTCAAACAGTTTAACGGGCTCATCGCGTTGTCGATTGATGGTTTCGTGATGATACGCCAATTAGTGGGTCTACTAGCTAAACGCAACCACCGGGTACGACTGTACCTTATTGATGTCGTTAATGACATTTTAGGGGTGAAAAGCCTTTCATGGATGGTGGGTCTGCCCCACCAACTTCAGCCTCATCCACCGCCGCCACAAGTGGCTACCGCCGTTGACCACTATAGGGGACTTGTGGTGTTGGTATTGATTAAAGCGGGCCTTCTAGACCGGCTAGCGGAAATTGTCGAACAGAAACAAAACGAGGCTAACGTCAAGGCAGCGAGACTGCTTATGGCCGAGGTGTATCGCCGGTCTCTGCAACTATTACCGGTCGAGCTCGTCACTCAGATTAAAGTCCCCGACGCTTTTACTACCACTACCGCCACTACCACCCAACCAGCCACTCCCGTGACTAGCCGCGAGCTTAAACCAATGAAACAACAATTGGGCCAGATGTACCTGGCGTGGCGCTACAATATCGACGATAACGAGTTCCGGATCCACGTGAACAATACCAGGATTGTCACCGTCAAAGAGTTTGGTGAATGGAACTGGCCGCTTATACAACGGTTATTTGAAGGTCCCTTGGATAATCCCTACCGGTTTGATGAAGTATTGGACAAGTACCCCAAGTTCTTCAAACGGCTAATGCTGTTTTATCGACCGTTTAAATTCAGGTTCTGTAACATTGCGAGAACTGCGAAGAACGGTAAACGCTACGTGGCCGTGGGGTGTCAATTATTTGAACTATTATTATCATTGGAGAGAGGAAGGAAATACTTGGCTAAGAATAAGATTTTACCGCAAATCGCTGAAGTTTTGGCTCAGATCGACCCCTTAAGTGGTATTGGTGCTAAGGACCCCATTCTCTCTAAGAAACGGTTGGAAACGACGGTATCTGCCGGTTACTTGGAGATCATTGCCACCATGCTGAAGCACCAGTTCGGCCTTCGCCTCTTAGGGCAGTGGCAAGTGTTTACTACCCTCCACCATATCATCGACCACCTGACCACTTCTGAAACCAATAACCACTTGCTTGCCGTGCTCTTCCGCCTGGCCGACTACTCGTCCGAACACCTGCCCTTTAGGGTAATGCTCCATCGCATATTGGCGACACTGAACCGTCGACTCGTCCATTTACTCCTTGATGGAGTAGTGGCGAAACTTTTGACCGATCACGCTGACCATAGCAACCAGCACTACTTGGTGAGAGCGGTGACCGAGTTGTTATTTCACCCCACCGATGCTCTGATCCGTCGCAAAGCCGTCGACTTAATTGGCCAATACTTACAACAAGGAGGGTCAGTGGCCGCGGTGGTGGAACTGGGACCGCCAGTGGCATTGCTTGTACCTCAAGGGTACCACATTCTCACGCGACTTATGGCCACTCTGATTGGGTTTAAATACCTCTATGCTCGTGGGTTTATCGATACTGAGTTTGCCAAATGGAGCCGAGCGGTGGAGACTCGAGATTTCCGGTTCCTCCACACTGTCGAGACAAGAATTCGTGATGAGTTATACCCGACGTATTCTGCTGACGATATGTTCTGGAAACCCGCGAGCGATGAAGGCCCTCCTGAGTGTCGTGGCGAGTTCTTCCAATACTTATTAGCTACCGAAGATGGTCTCCACTACTGCCAACAACACCAACACATGTTTGCCCAAGCCGTAAACCCCGTGATGGGTTTCTACACGCAAATGGTGGCGGACCGTGCCGAATTAAACCGCAAATTGGCCGATACTTCCAACGAAGATATGCTGACGTGGCTAGCTGAGATCAAGCAACTGTTATGGATTATTGGTATCACTGGTTTGGGAACGTATGGCGTTAGTCTACTCCTACTGATCGCCCCCAATTTGGTGCTGGTGGTGCACAACCTCTTCTACCTCAGTCCCTCGTGGCAAATCAGAGCGCAGGCGTTCTACACGTTGGGGATGTTATCGGCGTCCACCGAAGGGATGGAAGTGTTGGATGAGCTCGGGTGGGTCACCGCCCTCGACGCCTACGGCAATCTGAAGCGGATGTGCTACCCTCAAGAGTGTGACTTGAATTCGTTCTTTAACGTCACCACCACTAACCCGTACCGCGATGTCAATTACTATAGTATTTTTAACGGCAGCGGCACCGGTTTTAGTCTTTTCGGTGATGACGACGACGATGCCGAGACCGACGCCAATAACGAGCGGGTGCTTACGCTAGTCCACGGGTTGGACCTGGTGTTGGGTAAGATCGAGCGCAAAGCCCACGCCGAGCTTAGGAGAATGAAAAGTACTCACCCAGAGTTGTTTGACGGCAATACCACTTTGTTCCTCGAAGTGATCAAAGCCATCGATAAGGGGGTGTACAACTTTGCCAAACGGGACTTCATCATGCTGCTATTCGATATCGGGGTGGTCGAACCGTTTTTGAAGGGAAGAAAAGGGTGATAGCCCTCTAAAAGGGTCAACACCTACTTATAGACATCTATTCAACATTATACTAGTGACCACTGTAGACCAGATACTATTGTCGATTTGACTCCTAGCCAATACTTTTTCACCTCAAAATAACATAGTGTGTTTCACCTTAAGTCATACGTATACGTCACAGTTCCCTTCACTGATTTTTTCCTAAACTTCCTTTGTTAGTTGTTGTGTCTACCGTTGGTAGTGTCTTTTTTGCCTCCTGCATATACCCTCGCTGAAAAGTGCGTACTATCATCTAGGGTCCCCTACACGTCTGTTCCAGCGCCATGCCTCTGTTCGACGCCCAGCTGTACTACGTCCAGGCGTTGTGTCTGAGTTTCGCCAAGCGGCTCCAGGACTCGCACGACCTGGCGTTGCTCCTCAACTACCAGCCCACAGGCCGCCAGGCCAAACGCGCCGCCCAACAGATAAACTACTCCGAAGACCTTGTCGACGACTTTGACGAGGACTATACGCCCAATGTCGAGGAGTCTAACGTCCAAGTGAACCATTTCCACAACCAGCCGCCACCGCAGTACACGGTAGCGCGGCCCAACCCCCATTTCGAGCTGTTAGAGGACGAAGCTACTCTCCAGTTCCTTGCCCACACTCCTGAGGTTTTAGTGCCGATAAAAGTGAGCTGTGAACACCCTAACGGCACCAATAAGCTCCAGGACTTTTTCTTGTGGAACACAGCGACGCTGCACTTGGTATCGCCGCAACAATTCGCCCTGATCCTTGTCAATGATGTCGAGCTTCCAGGGCTGATGGAGTCGCAAATCGCCGACCAGATCACCCAACAACTTTCCGACTGGGAGTTTGCTCTGAACCTTAGTCTCCCCTTAGCCCCCGGCGAGCCCTACGTGGTGGTGATTGAACTCACCGTCAACCTCAACAAACAATTATACCAAGACAAACTCGAGTGGGACATCAACCAGACGGTGATCACCCCTGAGACCTACGCGGCTACGGTGTGTGGCGACCTCGGCCTCCCCCGTGAGTTCGTGCCTGCCATCGCCCACGCTCTCCACGAACAGATCCTCAAAGTGAAGCGCGAGGTCGCCGACGGCACCCACAACCTCACCTTGAACCAATTACAACTGTTACGAGGCGTGGTGGTCAAGGAAGGGATGAGAATCATCCCTCCGGAAGCGCTGGCCGAGTTCGACGCCTGGGAACCCCGGGTGGAACTGTTGACTCAAGCACAAATCGAACGGCGTGAGTTGGAGAAGGGACGTAACTTGAGACGATTAAAGCGGGAGAACTTGAAGCGGGGAGGGTTGGAGTTCGACGACTTCGCCAGCAAACGACGCGCCACCGGCCGCCGCCTGGACTGGTAACCACCATTGACCAAAATTCACGTGTAATTTTAGAGACTACGACTAATACTACGAACCAAAACTAATTCTCCACAAGAATCTTGAGACTTGCTGCGAGCCCTGGTCCACAAAGCCATCGCTGGTTCATTTCACGTTAACGGATGCCCCGGCATAATACCCCAAGCACGAAGGTGGGGAAGATAAACTATCAGCCACAAGCAACTCCCGATTATAAAGCGGATAACCCTAACCCCGAGGTCATCCCCTCTCCTCTCTATCTAACGTACATCTTATTCTAAACTGGCTTTGTTTTATGTAGTGGAGATTTAGCTTTGTTTGTACTTGTTCAGTGCTTGAGTATATCTCATTGTGAGCTCAGGAGTTTCTTGTTCACAGGGCGACACAATGCCATCGGACAATAGGGAAGCTGCTATTTCAGCTTTGGCATTGATACCAAGAAATTCGGTATTATTTATGTTTACGGTGCAGAGTTTGTTTTGGTTATGTTTGCATCCCATTTAGTGGCACAATGGTATGCTTGCGGTTGCAGAGGGTCGTGCGGTGACCACAAGCTGAATTATTCTATTTGCAAGCTATTCCCACTAAATTGTAGATCCAAGTTAATCTTTTTGGTGTTCTACAAGTTGATTTTTTTTAAATTCTATTATCTATTAGCCTATAATACTTATTAAAAATTAAAAGGGGGAATGGGAAATAAAATGATGTCGTGAGGATTTTTTGGGGAAATAAGAGTAAAGGAGGAGGAGGGTAAGCGATGGCCACAAGGGGTATGAAGCAACCACCACCACCCAAGGGTAATCAAAAAATCAAAAGGACGGCGAGTGTTTGGTAAGCGACCGCCAATCTTGGGTTTGGGGAAAACCCAAGTGGGGAAATCAGCGGCAACCGACCAAGCGCACCAAATGCAAAGTAATCACTTCGGAAGCGAAGAGTCCACTTACGACGACTTTTCGTGTTGAGTGGACACTCTCTTCATCGACATCAAGAAGTCTTCGAGGTGTCTTTGGTCCTTTTGGGGCTTTCTAGGTCTCCCGTTACAGAGGTTGTCGAAGCCTTCCGAGGTGGACATCATGTAGTACGAACCACCCATGACACAGAAGACACCGAACGAGAAAATCCAGGTTCTGGTAACAGTGACAATGTCAGTCCAGTTTTGCGAGAACCAGCCGAACAAGGTGAAACAGGTGGCGATGACATCGACGATGAACACGGCACCAGCCAATTGCCACGAGGGGATCGACGACCAGAAGGGACCTTGAGCTCTGGTGATGAAAATCAACCAGTTTTCAGTCAACGAGATTTGCAAGAACAAGATACCGTCCAACGAACCGAAGTTTTGGATGATACCACCCTTGGACACGAACATGGTAGTAAGGGTAATCCAGGTACCGATGGCCAAGATGACACCGAGAACGATCGACATACCCCATAATCTGGGCAAGTTCCACTTGACGGGCTTGGGGTCGTAAGGAGCGTTGTCGTAAGCAATGGCAAGGGTAGCGACGTCAGCGAAAATGGCAATGAACACAATCAAGTTAATGTCCAACGAGTGGTTCAAGATGGCAATCCAGAGACCCAAGAACAATTCCAAGTGCAACGACAAAGCGATACGGTAGACAACGTACGAGTACATTCTGTGGAAAATTTGTCTCGAAGTCTTCAAAGCATCAATGATAGCAGACAAACCGGGGGCAAGGAACACAATGTCGGCAGCGGATCTAGCGGCGTCAGTGGCACCTTCGACAGCAATACCAGTGTCGGCCTTCTTCAACGAGGGGGCGTCGTTAACACCGTCACCAGTCATGGCCACCAAGTAACCTCTCGATTGCAAAATTTCAACGGCGTTGTACTTGTGTTGGGGGAACACTTCGGCGAAACCATCGGCGTTTTCAACAAAGTCAGCAATTTCCGAACCAGCCATGTCACCACCGCCACCGAGACCGAGTCTGTCAGCGTCGTAGATCTTGTCACCCAAGCCCAATTGTCTGCAAGTTTCCTTAGCGATACCGACGGCGTCACCGGTCAACATCTTAACACGGAGACCAAGGTTTCTAGCTTCGTGGACGGTTTGGGCAGTGTCATCTCTAGGGGGGTCCATACAAGGCATAATCCCGAGGATTTCCCAGTGGCCTTCACCTCTCTTTCTGGCGACACCAAGCGATCTGAAACCTCTTTGGGCAAATTCTTCGACAGTAGTTTCGTAAGCTTCGTGGACTTCAGGGGGGATGGGGTGGTCTTCTTCGACGGTCTTCAACACGAAAAGAGGGGCACCCTTGACACAGATGATTCTTTCACCTTCAGGCGATTGGACGATAGCGGTAACCTTCTTGGAGACGGGGTCGAAAGGTTGGAATTCCAACACCTTGTACTTGGAGAGAGCAGCCTTGGCACGGGGGTAGTTGATCAACGACTTCAAGAAGGCCTTGTCAATAGCGTCCAAACCCTTCTTCTTTCTCGAGGCAGCAAGACAGGCGGTCAACATCAAGTCATCGGGTTCGACACCTTCGACAGTGTAGGGTTCGTGCAACGACAACTTGTTCTTGGTCAAGGTACCGGTCTTGTCCGAGCACAAGATTTCGACACCGGCAAGCGATTCAATAGCCGACAACTTTTGCACGATAGCTTGCTTCTTGGCCAAGTAGGCGGCACCGACAGCCATGGTGGTAGTAACGACAGCGGGCAAACCGACGGGGACACCGATAATGGTGATGGCCAAAGTGTATCTCAAGATGGTGACAATACGGACGGTTCTGTAGAAACAAGCGACCCAGACGACCAACAAGGTGATGATGACAAAGACCAAAAGAGTAGTACCAATACCGTTCAACACTTCAGTGAAGTGACCTTGACCACCGGAGGCCTTGTTGACCAAGGCGGCGGCACGACCGACGAAGGTGTTGTCACCGGTAGCGGTAACGATCATGAAGGCTTGACCGGTCTTGACGGTCGAGGACGAGTAACAGGAGTCACCGTGACGCTTGTCGACGGCCAACGATTCACCAGTGATAGCCGATTGATCGACTTGCAACAAGCAGTCTTCGGTAATGATTCTACCGTCAGTGGGGATAACGGTACCGTCTTCCAATTGCAAGACATCACCGGGGACAATTTCGTTAGCGGGGACTTCGATGATGGAGCCGTTTCTGACGACGAACGCCGTGTTGGCGAGAGTCTTCTTCAATTCATCGACAATGGAACCGGCTTGGTATTCCTGGACGAAACCGACGAAAGCGTTCAACATAAGCAAACCACAGATGACACCGAAATCGACCCAATCTTCAAGACCGGCGGCCAAGATAGCGGCGGCTTCCATGACGAACTGAATGGGACCGACAAAGAACATGATGAACTTGAGGACCAAGTTTTCCTTTTCTTCGGCCATCTGGTTCCACCCGTACTTCTTTCTGCGCTTTTGCACTTCGTCGTCGGTCAAACCGGTTTGGGGCGAGGTTTGCAACAACTCTTCGGGGACTTGGACGTACGACCCTTGTTGAGGGCCGTCGTCTTCGTCGTCGTCGAGAGCGGCGCCGGGGTTCGACTGCAAGTCAGCGACCAACTGGTCGATGTCTTCGTCGTCGTCCGAGAACTGTTCCTTTTCGTGAGGGGCAGACATCTTTTATTGACTGAACGATAAAAGAATTCGGTAGCGGAAGAGAAACTTTTGCCAGGGGCAGGGGGGCACGTTATATATGGGCGAGCCCCTCCGTTTAGAAAAATCACTCACTGATGCGCCATATATTTTGAATGCGGCTCGATTAGGGCGGCGGCTGCGGGATATTAGCAAGCAACTGCAGGGCGAGGCCGTGCCGACCCAAGGTCCCCGGAACTACCAGGGAAACTAAGGGAGATGGAGAAGGAGTATAGGAGCATTGGGTAGTGGTGTTTAGAACGCCTACTTGGTCTAATTGTTAGTTCCAAATGGTTTCGGGCGGGTGCCGCGCGGGGTGCCATGTGGCGGCATTCCCGGCCACTTCCGTCGGATGAGGCCGCTGCGAACGAAAAAAAATTTTCATGCTTCTGGGGAAGTACCCTGGCGTAACCCCGAGCACATAGATGGGGTGAGGCAATTCCACCACGAGGGGGAGTTCCGAGGGAACCTTGTAGTATACGAGTATAGCGGCATGCTCTGTTACGTCTACACATGGTAAGAACTACCCAAAGCCACGGCTAGCCCGCTTCCCTCTCCCTAATCTCTCTTCCCTAGTCCCCATTTCCTAGTGCGTGTTTGTTGTGCTGTTGTCAATGTTTATTTGGGTGCGGCACGCCCCAACGGGCGACACCGTTATCCCCTCAACCCTAAAGCGGGTGGCCCTACCCACACGGCACCCGTTGGCGCTACATTCCGCATTTGCAGTAGCTAACCAATCACTAGAGGACACCCTACCAATCGTGCCCCACCACACGGAGGTAGCCTCCCTTAGCTGCAGCTTCAGTCCGATGGTGATAGTCGATAATGGCCACCTTTCGCATGAGGTTGCCAAAAGTCTATTTTCGCCGAGTCCACTGCACTGGTTAGTAGAGAGCGAACAATAACAGAAATAAGTCCCCGCCACGGGGTAGCGCCGTTCTCCGGCCCTCCCGAAAGCCCATAAAGAATGGCCCTCTCTCTACGGAGAGGTCCTACTAGCTACTGGTAGTCCTACCAGCTACTGGTTCAGCCGGACGAGAACGATGTTTATTTGCTTACATCCCCAAACTGGCGGCAGCAGGCGGGAGTGGTGGGGTGGGTCTCCGTGGCGATTAATCCCTCACCGGGATTTCGCAACCACGCGCCGTGTGGCCTCTTTTGAGAGAGGACGGGAGCGCTGCTGATGATGTCACCGCGCGAAATTAGAAAATTCACAGTACTAGCCAATGATAGCGAGGGCAAACCCGACGGCCCGGAGCCTGCCATATGCCTTATCTGGCGGCCCCTAGCGTATCTAGACCACAGTGGTGTAGCACTAGCACTGTGGTGGTTATTTGCCTGTCCAGAGGTCTACGGGAAATCCCATCGAATTTAGTCGTTACCATTTAGGTTGACGGCGGTCCGGCTTGGCGCCGCAAAATGCCGTCGGGTTTCCCCTCCCTCAAGCTCTAACAGTGGCCGAGTCATTGCAGGCGAGGGTGAGCCCCGGAAGAACGCATGCAAGCCCGTATCGGTCGGATATTGGGGTGCCCGGTAGCGACGACAGGGTACAAATTGGAGATGAGGTGTGGAAGGGGGTCGTGTCCCGTGGCCAATTCTTGGCTTCCGCTAAATCCGTAGCCGCCGTCGGCGACATCCTCGGACCGACACCACAGCACTGTAACTATACGGCAAACGTAGGCCAAAACGGACCCTGAAACTGACTTTGGTCTCCACCCTAATTGCCTGTGCTTGCTTTGTTTACGTTGTTTCCTGTTTCTCCTGCTCTGATTGCCCTTCCCTCTTTTCCGTGGACCGGCCCAGTGGCGGCTATTCACTGCCGGGGGGGTGCATACATGTCCATCCTGCGCACGGGTACATAACGGCTACCAGACGGCTACTCGTCCCCAAAAAGCTCACCGGCATCACAGCGCAAATCTAGCAGTAAGCCCCGCCGCCTCGCCGTCGCTCCCAAAACCAGTAAATGGTAAACACGACTCTAACGCCACCTCAAACAAACATGTAATCCATAAACGGTTTGTTTGAGTCTTACAACCAACGGCGCCTTGGATTATGTTTTGAGTTTACAGGGTTGGTGTACTTGCCACATTTACACGAAACGATTATTATGTGCATACCCACAGCTGGTTGCTAGGTGATGGCCCGACGACCCCTAGCGCCGGCAGCGTCAATGACAGGCGCGTAGCTTAATTGGCAGGGAGCCGTTTTTGTGTCCAGGCCCTTTTGGGCTCTCCCCAACGGCTACTGCAGGCCAGGGAGAGACCGATTCGGGGCAAATTAACGGCAGAGCTAATCGGTGGTATTACCACTGGTAGCATGGCGGTGACTACTCGAAGGTAGCCCCTGGCTCGGGTGCGTGTGTCGGAAACTTGGTGCCGTCACCGGAAGCGTCGGCACCGGTCACCACGGGTCAGGGAGTTACACACCTATCAATGTAACACAATCCGAAGCATTACTCGATTCTTTTACCTCCCTCTTTCCAGCTGTGGCCATGCTCTATGCCTGGTGGTAATCGGGCGTTGCTATCGTAATTAATCAAGGGTCATTCAGCCGTTCGTTCCGAAAAACCCCACCATTTGCGTGGTGGCTTGGCCAGGAAAGCAACCCCCCGGCGGGACGTGAGGCTACGTATTTTATTGTTGAGGTTGATGCTGGGGGGGGCTAGTTTGCTTCCCTAGTTTTACGATTATTTCTAGGCTTTTGTAGATATTTTCTCGTACCACATGGGACTCCAGCAAGATGAGATTGTGAAATTGGCTGGAACAAATAAAAATTGTGCTACTAGACCAAAGTGATGGCTACTGGGTGGTTTTTTTGGAGTCCCGAACTCTTTAAATTGAAATATTAGCCTTGTTTGAGACCCTGCTTCGACTAGATGGAAATGGCTAACGAACGGTACTTCGACTAAATCAAAGTAATATCTGATAAGTAGGTGTAGTAATGCACCTAGGTCAAAGTAATATCTAATGATTGGTTGTGGCAACAAAATTTACTCATTTAAAGTGATGGCTGTAGGGCAGTAGCGCTCCCTCCTAGTGATGGCTGATAATCAAGTGTAGCACCATCCATCCTCCTTTCTCAAACCATATTGAAAACTGATACCACAAGTGTCACTGCCATTGCAATCATCATTTCCGCCATCAATTGAATACTACAATTATTTCTTTCCTCATTTGATCTCACGCTTCTCCTTCGATCTTATTGTTCTCACCGTAAGCTTCCCCACACATACACACCCACCCCCAAAATATAAAACAAAATCAAGAATTATTGTCATTTGATACCAAACATTTATTCATAGATCAACCTGCTAATTCCCTATTTGTAGTACTCTCACCACCCACGTCGCCATCCCTTCGCCACGCGCCACCGCGTCTAACTAACCCCCCGCCTTCATACCGCCTCCACCTCAACTCATACACCACCCACACTAATCATGATTGATCTCCCTCCGCAGGCGGCGACTCAGGTGCCTGCTAATACCCCCGTCTACAAGGACGAGTGCATGTTCACGTTCGACACCCCCGAGCTGAACGCCGAAGGGCTCGACGTCGACGTCATCACTTACCGGGGCTACGCCCGAACCAGCCAAAACAATTTCACTGGCGACAACTATGCCCGGACGGGGAACCGCTACTATTTGAATATCCGCAAACAGCGTAAGCCCGAGGCGCCGCTGGCGCTTGTGGGTGCTGGTGGCGACGGCGAGAAGCCCGCCAAGCTCCAGAAGCTTGCCGTGAAAGATATTGCCGATGAAGACGTGTGGGACTATTTGTACCGTGTTTACGATGCGGAAACTGACCAATACTTCCCTCTCCTGGACCTTTCGGAGCCGTTTCAACGGCTTGTGGCCCTGATTATTGAGGCGAAGCTGAGCACGCGCCAGGACGAGATTCTGACGTGGGAACACGAAATCGGCGTCTGTCCTCACTCCATCGACATTGTCCAACACCCCATTGAGCCGTTGCCGTCGTTAAAACACTGTGGCCAGTGTGATTTGACGCAAAACTTGTGGATCTGTTTGGAGTGTGGTACCCTTGGTTGTGGCCGCCAGCAGTTTGGTCTGGACTTACCGGGTAACTCTCACGCATTAGCCCACTATGAAACCACCAAACATCCCGTCGCCGTCAAATTGGGCCTGCTTAGCGCCAGTGGCGGCTACGACGCCTACTGCTACCAGTGTAACGACGAAGTGAAAGTACCCCGTATTGGCGAGTGGCTCGCCACTTTTGGGATCAATCTAGCCGATACAAACGCCACGGAAAAGCTGTTGGTGGAGTTGAACATCGAACAAAACCTCAAATGGGATTTCTCGTTGGACGGGGCTGATGGCGCTAAATACCCACCAGTATTCGGTAAGGACTTCACGGGGATGGCCAATTTGGGCAATCTGTGCTATTTAAATTCAGTGGTGCAGTTATTATACTCTACCGAGCACTACCGCCAGTTCTTTCTGAAACTTGAGTTTGACACTATGGTCAGCGATCCCGCCCACGATTTGCCCACACAATTGTATAAGTTGTATGATGGGTTGTGGAACGGTCGGTTCCTGGTCCCCGTGCCTCCTGAGAACTACCAGGCGGGGATTAAGCCCCACCAGTTCAAACAGCTTATCGGGGCCAACCACCCGGAGTTCCAGACGATGAAACAACAGGACGCCTACGAATTCTTGACCTACTTGGTGGATACCGTCGACAAACAGTGGGGGCTCGAGCTTAACCGTCCTTTGAAGTTTTTGTGGGGTCAAAAAGTGGTGTGTACTGCCTGTCGCCATGGCCGCATTACTGAGGAATTGGTGGATACAGTGATGGTCCCCATCGTTAAGGGGGAGAATCGTGGTTTAGTCGATGGCTTTACGGAACTTCTGACCCCAGAAACCATTGAAGGATTCCACTGTGACCATTGTAAGCAGTCTACCACTGCCATTACTGCCAAGGGGTTTGTCACTTTCCCTGACTATTTAGTGGTTGCAGCTCAACGGATAGCCCTTGAAAACTGGGTCCCCGTCAAAGTGGAAACTCCCATTGCCGTGCCTTATACCCTAGATGTCACCAACTTTGCTGCCCCCGCCATGGCCGAAGATGAAGTTGAGCTCGCTCCCGTAGCTTCTGGAGCTAAAGACGACTCTGTGCCTGAGTTCTTGCCCCTGGCGGATGCTCTCAGCATGCTTACGGCGATGGGGTTCCCTGAACCGCGGTGTATTAAAGGGTTATACCATACCGGTAACGCCGATGCTGAGGCCGCCATGAACTGGATCTTAGCCCATATGGACGACCCCGATATTGATCAACCGTTGGACTTGAGTAAGAACGCTTCTAGCGGTTCTGGTGGTCCTCAAGTGGATGCTGAATTAGTGGCTACCGTCAGTTCGATGGGGTTCTCGCAACAGCTTGCCACCAAGGCGCTTTATTTGAATGGTAACGATGCGAACGCCGCGGTGGAATGGTTATTCGCTCACCCTGATGATGATGGCGTTATCGACGAAGGTAAACCTCAAAGAGACGTCGCCGCTGAGTGCCGTGAACTCAGATTAGCGCTTCAAGGTCAAGATCCGGGTGCGGGACAATACCGCGTGAAAGCAGTGGTGTGTCATAAAGGTACGCTGCCTCATACGGGTCACTACGTGGTGTTTATTCGTCAAATTGTTGATGGTACCGAAAAATGGGTGTTGTATAATGATGAAAAAGTGGTGGAGATCACCGACGATACTGTCGCCGTGGGTGACCCTGAAGATATTCGCAACAATGGGTACATCTACTTGTTTGAAAAGGTAAAGTAGGGGAGTGGGGGAGTTGTATGAGGTTTGGTTTGTGGGGTGAGAGAGGATATACGGTTTAATCAATGGAAACGAAAGAATTGGGTGGATTGGGTGAATGATAGAGTAAAGTGGTGGGAGGGGGGGGGAGGGGTAGTGTGAGGGGTAACTGATCATTTGGGGTTGGAATTAAGCACATTGGAATGGTGTTGGTCTCTATTAAGTGGTTAGCCTATGGTGGGGGTGGTAATGGTAATACTGGTTCCAGCAATAAACGTAAGCGCTAGTTACAGCATTTTGGCCACTAGTCGTGACTAGTCACCGTGAGGATTGTTCCTTAGCGCTTGCCATATGCCTTTACGAGGCTGACATTTGCCTAACATTTGGTTGACATATGATGCTAGAACCAAACAGGCGACGTATAGAATTTTACAGTTGACTATAGAATCCTACTCAAACGAATATCATAGAGTGTAAACTCAACTAATCTGCTTTTCATGAATATTATCCTGTACTTCCCACTCGTATATTAATGTAACGTCGCGGTAAAAAATGCCGCGTATCGCTGTGGTGCGGGGGGGCCAGGGCCGGTAACGGCATGCTGAAAAAAAGAAAAGGAACTTGTCGTCATTCGATGAGCAAATCCCACAAGGAAGACTGTTTCAAAATAGCCAAAAATGTATGGCAACCCCCTAATCAAATTACACCAATATAATCCTCACACTTCTGACATTGCATAGAGCTGTATTTATGAGTCAACTGGAGGCGGTTACCCTCCATTGGGGAGGTGCTGGCTGCACTGCCTGCAGGACGATGACTCAGAGGGGAAGATAACGTAAAAAGGCTGCGACCACCACCACCACACAGTTATACACCAATTTGATCAGTTATGTTCATTACCAACGAACACGTGGGCGACAGAACGCGAATGGAGGACTGGAGAATCCGCGGCTACGACCCGCTCACTCCCCCCGATTTATTGCAGCACGAGTTCCCGTTGCTGGAACAACTGAAGCTGGTGATCCGCCAGGGGAGAGAGGACGCTTGTGCCATTTTGGCTGGCAAAGACGACCGGTTGTTAGTGGTGATTGGCCCCTGTTCGATCCATGATCCTAAGGCCGCCAGAGAGTACGCTGCTAAGTTGTATGAAGAAGCACAAAAGCATAAGGGGGAGCTTTTGGTGGTGATGAGAGCGTATTTGGAAAAACCACGCACCACCGTGGGTTGGAAGGGGCTCATTAATGACCCCGAGATCGACGGTTCGTTCCAGATCAACAAGGGGCTCAGAATTGCTCGCGGTTTGTTCTGCGAATTGACGGAGAAATTGCCCATTGCTTCGGAGATGTTGGACACGATTCTGCCCCAATTTTTATCGGATTTGTTTTCCGTAGGTGCCATTGGTGCCAGAACCACCGAGTCGCAATTGCACCGGGAATTGGCGTCGGGGTTATCGTTCCCCGTTGGGTTCAAGAATGGGACTGATGGTACTTTAGGCGTTGCCATCGACGCGTTGAGAGCGGCTCTGCACCCTCACCATTTCCTTTCAGTGACTAAACCTGGTGTCGTCGCTATCGTTGGTACTGAAGGTAACAAGGACTGCTTTGTCATTCTTAGAGGTGGTAAGACCGGGACCAACTACGACGAGGCCCTGATTGCTGCCACTCAAGCGGAATTAGTTAAGCAAAAAGTGGTTGAAGCCGATGGTCTGCTGGGTCCTAAGATTATGGTCGACTGCTCCCACGGTAATTCGTTAAAGAACCATAATAACCAGCCTAAGGTGGCTGCCGAAGTCGCCCGCCAAATCGCTAACGGCGAACGCAACGTGTGTGGGTTGATGATTGAATCTAACCTTGGTGAAGGCCGTCAAGACGTGCCTGAAGAAGGTAAGGAAGGGTTGAAGTACGGGGTGTCGATCACCGACGCCTGTATCGGCTGGGACGACACCGAGAAGGTGTTGCAAACGCTCGCCGACGCCGTTAAACTGAGACGTGAAGCGAAGAAGGCTTAAAATTTGTAAATAGACCACGATAATGAACAACTACTGTAACCACCACTCACAGATCAACGTTTATCCTCAACATTGGTTAAAGTATCACAGATGAATATCAATCATAAACGTATATCTAAGAGATGCTCCACGGAAACCTAATTGTGGGTATACTGGAGTAGTGGTAGTGATGAAGCAGCCCTTTTTCAAAAAAACTTATTGTCTATCCAAGCGTAGTGGTTGATATAGTCTGTTTAATCGGGAATGGATCCATTTTTGATAGCGTTGTAATCTGGACTCTTCCACATTCATTGGCTTTGACTCAAGGATTGGGCCAAACACATGTTCAATAGAAGTCTCTAGTTATAGCCTAGCCACAATAACCTAATGAATAGACTCTAGACCAAACTGGAACCTCGAATCCACCGGTACCCTTAGGATACTGGCCACCAGCGACCCTACTCTTACACCAAACTGTACCAATCTACCGTACCCAATTGTGCTTCGTCGAATCTGATTGTCACCGGTGGTAATCGTGTCTGTCAGTTGTCATCGCTTGGAGTTACCGCTAGTTTTTGGTGTGGCTGCGTTTGTGCCTCCTGGACCCTGGCAAGCGAGCATTTGTGTGCCGGACACCCCCAGGGGCACCCGCGTCGGCGTAGTCGACCACTCCCACAGTAGTCACCAAAAAACTCAGTAATCAAACCAAACTAGTCCATAACTAGAATCCACTGGTTTCGCTGTCGTTAACTACATCACAATTATTTGATTTCCCACTTTATATTCCTTGCGCTAAAGTCACGCTTATCTGATGGGGTGATCGCACTAATCTCGACGCGACCCACCGCGTCCCCTCGAAATCACCTCCGCCCCGTCCTCTCCATGAATTCTATCAAATACCACCAAATGATCTATAAAATGAAAAGAGTGAAACAAACTGTGAAACAAACTGTGAAACAAACTGTGAAACAAACTGTGAAACAAACTGTGAAACATGTAACAACAACTTAAACTATACCCTCAATATCTACTCCCAAAAGTCTCGTCTTCTATTTTTAGGCTGCGCGCTTGATCTCGTGCCCGCACTGTCAAGAGAGCTTAATCACGGCACCAGTGTTTGCCCCCCCGCCAGCCCTCCTTACGTCGTTCCCAGAGCATGAGGTCGTTTATCAGACACCGCCGCAACGACCTGGGCCAGCTGATCGACGACGCGTTGGCCATCGACCTCCAGGGGGCGCCCCCGAATAACCCCATGACCCGCGATCTCCAGCCGGTGATGTCTCGAGCCAGCGGCCACTCCCAGCACACCCCGGTCTCGCTGCCAGTGGTGGCGCAAGTACTGCTGTTTGGCTCGCCCAAGAGCTTCCAAAACCCGCAAAACGTCGCCAGTACGACTCAGCTGAAGCTGCTGCCGAAAAAGTTGCTTACGCCCATACGCAACTTGTTTGGACCGAAAACGTCGCCGGAGGCACGTAAGATCGAGCCGAGTCGGTACCTGGAGGAGAACCGACGGCTGCGGCTGCGGCCGCTGTCGTTTTCTCGCGTGGTTTCCAACGATAGCCATACTCTGAGCTTAATGTATGAACTGCGCCGCCTGCCGCTAATTGGCGCTAGTCCGGCTAAATCGAGTGAGGAGGATACGTTTAAAGTGCTGCCACGAGTCACTGGACGCAGTAATAAAGGGTTTGAAGTGATAAAGGGGATGGCGGGACCACCACCACCAACTCTGGCCTTACCCAAGAAACCAGTTGCTGGAAAGAAATATATCATCAGTGGTCCCATTGGTCCTCCCCGACTGCTGATGTCCAACTTTGATGCCCCTCGAGACGCTCCCGAGCCTCCCCGCCGTCTGGGTGAATCGCAACGGTCAATCCAGTCTACCCTTGATAATACTAAAAAGAAACGGAAAAAGAAGCGGAGATTGAAACCGCCCATCCAGTTTGATAGCTCGAAACCATTACCGCCAACCCCCCAGGGGTCGCCTGACCCGCCACGGCCCCTGAAACCCCCAGCATTAGATTTGGTGGAACTGAACTTTAAAGCCGTCAATCACGATAATGCCATGAGTCCCAGATTATATGGTGATAAGTGGGAGCCTCGACCGTCTTCGGAATCGAGAAAGACTCTGGAAAGTAGGGATTTCGTTGATCCTAGACGGACGCTGGAATCTCGAGAGTATGGTGATTCTCGCAAGTCTTCAGAGTCTCGAGACTACGTCGATCCACGCAAAGTATCAGAAACTCGTGAATCATCGGCATCAAGAGACTACGGGGAGCCAAGAAAAGTACTGGAGACTCGGAAATTACAAGACTATGTTGATTCACGCAAGTCACTGGAATCACGACCAGACTATAAGGAATTGCGCAATTCGTTAGATTCTCGAGATTACGTTGATCCTCGAAAGTCATCTGATTCACGAGATTACGTTGATCCTCGAAAGTCATCTGATTCTCGAGAGTTTACTGATCCTCGCAAATCAGCCGATTCACGCGAGTTTGTCGACCCAAGACGGTCTCAAGACTCACGCGAATATGTCCGTAAGTCGCTGGACTCTCGTGACCTTGAAGATACTGGCGGTAGAACTTCGATTAGTCTGCTCCCCAGTCATCTATCAACACCGCTGACGGTACACTCGTTCCCTGGTCCTCAGCCCCTTGTACGTGATGACGATATTCAGGAGGAAGAGGAGGTTGATCTGCTGGATTTAGACCATCTGGACGACTCAAACTCGCTGCAGTTCTCCTTTATCAAGGATAACATCGGTGGTCGTAACACTTCAGTGAAGTATTATAAAACGATCAACCCGACTAAGGACTTACCCACCCCTCCTCCCATCAACAACACCTTCAATGAGCACGATCTTGGCTACGAAGTGGATGAATTTAGTGATTACGACTATGAGAATAATGGCTATGATGACGACGATGACGGTGATGGCGAAGTTGGGTATAACGATGCCCTTGACGAAGAAGAAGTGGGGTACAATGATGCGTTAGGGTTTGATGAAGAAGACGGCATGGACTATAACGATGACTATGACGTTGACGATTACGCTGAGGCCGAGTTTGAGCCGAAACCACCGACGGTGGGAGACGACCACAGCTATACTGATAACCTGTATAAGCTGAAGGACGAGGAGGAAGCGTTTCACGCTCTGGAGAAACGTATACCGTGCCACCAGGAGAAAAAGGAAGCGACTACTCCTACGACTGCTTCCCACCACCACCCCAACTTAGACTCGCTTGAGCCTCCTCCCAGACTCCGTCCGTCTATTGTGGGGGTACCCCAGCTTAGTCGTGGCAATTCGTCAACGGGGGAGGACCTGGAACTGTCGTATGGCGACGATATTCTCCAGAACTACCTCGATATGGGTCCCCTGCCTCGCAGTGATCGTCAAGGCAGTTCACTTAACCGGGGTGATTCCGTTGATACTTCAAATTTCGCCGTTACTCCACCTCGTTTACTCGAACAACTTGCTCCTCCTGACTTGGACGATCCTCAACTGCTGCCTCAAGTCGCGTTATTTCCTCCCTCAGTGGCTGGTACCGTTAAAGTGAGACGTCGTCGGGGGCTGGCTCCCGATACCCCACAAGCGTGGCACCGCCACCACCAGCTGTTCCTTCTTGCAGTTCAGAATGGTGATACTCTCGACTTAGACCACCTGCCGTTTCGAACTCCCGGTTTATTCCGCAGTTTCCACGACCTGATTCCAGAGAATATTAACGTTATCGATAAAGTGAACCAGTACGAGCTGTTTACCGAGTCGCGACAATCTCAAAATACGCCGCTGCTGCGTCGTCAACTGGCCCAACTGACCATTTTGGAAATTTCTGTGGAGAGATTTCGGCACGGCCAGGGCCAGTTCCTGCTGCCGCTGCTGTACGATGAGTTTAATAGTCCCCAGCGTGATTTGAACTCGGAAAATACCAAACGCAGTCCCAGCGAAGCCCGTCGACTGGTGAACCAAATGATGGAGCTTTTAGGTACGCTAGAGCTGACCATCGATAGTGGGGCGACTCTGACTGATGATAAACGGAAACTGATCCTCAACATGATGGACTTGCTTAACCAGTTGGAGACGCTGCTCCCACCGGGACTGGCCCTGGACCACCGCCTGCTGATCATGGCGATGATGCTGACCCTCGACGCTATTGGCCAACGGCTCGATGAATCACCCAAGAAACCACTGCTGCTGCTGCTGCTGGTCCCTGATAATCGCAGAGCTCTGGTATCGTCAATGGGGATGAATAAGCGTGACCTGATTCTGAACATGATGAGCACGTTGGCAACGCTAGACTTCCTGTTACCGCCTGACGAAGCCGCCGCTGCTGAAGTCCAGTTGAAAAAGCGGAAACTGGAAAAGCATACTCGCACCACACAGCAACCGTTAGAGCGTAAACCAACGCTGTCCACCGTCACCCTGACTCTGGACCCAAGAAAACGGTACCTGTGGTACGAAGATGAGCAACAGCCTACGCTGATGGCGGAACTGCCTCCATTGCCACCACCAGCACTGGCACAACTGCCGATGACCCACGCCAGTTTTACTAAGCGGGCAGTGCTGGACGACTTGGGAGAAGATTTAATCGATGAAATCAACCAGCTTCCTGAAGATTTCGACTTTGAAGAGCACGAGCGCACCTCGTCGCAAGTGACGCTGCCGCTGCTGGGGTTCTTTAGGCTGAACCTGTACAAAAATAAGCCGATCAAGGCATTGGTGGACGCCCGCTACCCGCTGAATAAGATCGAGACGGCGCTGAAGACAGTGACGTTCTATAAAAAAGCCACCAGCGCCATGGAGAGACTGAGACTGACGAGTCGGGCGACGCTGTTACGGCTGCAAAACTCGTTTGCCTCGGTGACTGAAGAAGATGAAGGCGACGACAACACGGGGCTGTGGAAGTCGCACGACTTGCCGCCGCTCCCGTTCACGTTGGACCCTAAGTTCACCCACCACCATAACTTGCTGGGGGCCAATTTGCATACCATATCGGAACAACGGTGAAAAAGATAGAGATATATGATGAATGACACGACCTAGTATGAGTATTTGAGTAGTTAGAGGAATAGTTGTTGTTAGGAGTCGAACCTGATGTTCATCAGTAGTTTCCTCGAGGTAACTGCAATTGCTCATGAAATTTTCAAATATACAAAAATATCACAGAAAATCCTGGACGAAAGATAAAACTCATACAAACTATTACGTGGATAAAAATGTTTTATTCAAGCGTCTTTGATTTTAGTTCTATTACGTATTTGAAAATTGATATAGTGGATTCTTTGTGATGTCTCGCTAAAGATTCAAAGGTCATCAGCTTGAACAAATTGGTCAAAGTGTTGCAATATTATGCTTTGAGCAAGTCAAACGAAGTCGTCATTAGATCACTTTCAGTCCCTCTTGGAAGGGGGGTTACTGCCTCTGAATTTGCGGTTTTCTTGTTCTCTGATCACCAATAACGCTGCCATCAATTGCTTTTCCAATTCTTCGTCGCCACAGCTAAAACATTTGACGTAGCCGTGACGGATAAATTTACCTAATTTACCTTCATCGTCGACAAAACTGGCCACGGGGACATTTACAAGAGGAGAGGCGTCAGCGACACACTCAGCGATCTTGACACGGTTTTGCGTGGCCACGGCATCGTAAAGCTCATTTTGAATAAACTGAGGCCGTTTGTCGACAACATTAGCGTTTAGTGTAGGAGAATCAGGACGCAATATCATCACTCTAAGACGACCGCGAGAACCAAGCAGACCACCAGCCAACCCCATCACTCGGAGTTTAGTACCTCTGAGAACAAAGTCTACTGTCGCCGTATTGGAACTATTACAGTAGAGATAGACGTCTTCACCACCACCAAACTCCAAACGGTAATACAGCATCCACACACTCACCAGCTTGAAATAGACTTTACACGCCACTTGCTTATCAGGAAACACCATCAGCATAAAGCCAGGTTTGAAGATCAGCCCCCATTTCGTGTGAACGATGTATGGGTCACCATTAAGGACGGCTTGGTTCAGTGGGTATAAATAGGCACCGCCTTGTAGTCGCTGGGAGACGATGGGGCACAGCTTAATACAATTGAATTGCAGCACGGGAATACCGAAAACGGTGATCTGGTCGACTAGAGTGTCGTCACTGCCGGCAGTGAACACCAGAGCCAAATCGGTGGTATCGGCAATATCCGGGGAAGAGCGGGACAGCGACGGGCCGTGAGAGGTCAGCGATGCATTGACACTATTGGCATTTGATGGGGATTGTCGCGATGATTCGTCATCGTCGTCTTCGCGAAGGGTTTCTCCACTTATTCGAGGCATTAGTGGTGGGTTTGTGATGTGATGGTGCGAGATGAGCGGGGTCGGTTATGGTGGGAGATAAGATGTTTTGTGATGGAAAATTAGACAAATTTAAGTGCGACACCAATGACGGACGCTTATTAACATCAGTAGATAAGTTAATTATGCGTAGAAACGTCTACAAAGCCGGATATATGCCTTCAGCTAAATCCTAGTGAGCCCACCCCACGCCTCCCAAATCAGGAATGGGGCAGTGGCTCAACGGTAGAGCTTTCGACTCCAGATCGAAGGGTTGCAGGTTCAAATCCTGTCTGCCTCACTTTCCTTTTTGCCGTTTTACTGGGTATTCATCATGTTCATTCATCATAGCTATCTTACAAGGGATACTTTCGACACCCTACGTTACCAACTTGGACGCGTCACACGCGGCGACCTTCGTCTCCCGGGGGCTATCTATGGTGACGGGCAACTCATGGAGCTTTTTCTTCTTCAACGGGCGCACCTTATCCGCCAACTTGCGCTTGGGCAGGTCGTGGGCACCACCGCCGACTAAAGTGGAGGAGGTGACGAACGGCGACGTAGTGGTAGCCGAAGCCGACGCAGCCACGTGGGTCTCCAGAAGCGCCAGGGCGGGGGCCAGTTGGCGGCGGCGAGGGAGGTGAGGCTCGATGGCGGGGGTGGCCAGTTCAAACACTCCCATAAGCTTATTGTACACCTGGTTGGGAGGACACGAAACACACACCAGCGGCACCGTCGTGTCGCAGCCGACTTGCCATTTCACTTGCGGGAGTTTCAGGTGGATGGTGAACAGGAGTACGGCGACAGTATTGTCCATGGCCAGCGCCACCATGAACCACGGCTGGTTGCGGTGGACGCCACGGTAGACGTGCCAGTCGACGATGGGGCCGGAAAATACCGAGGAAATGTCAAACTTTTGGATGATTTCCATACGGGAGATGTCGATGACTCCGGCTAACGCCATCCCGTCAGTGAAGTACACCAAATCGGTGGGTGGGGCGTGGTTGGCTGCTGGTTTCACTTCGAGGCCAAACAGCAGCAATTTGACGCGGTGGGTGGGAGTGCGGAGACTGCCACTGTGGTTATACACCACAAGCTCGCCCATTTGCGTGCCACAAGCCACAGTGCCGCCGCCAACCATCACCACCAGCGAGATCCAGCAGCTGAGGGTGTCGTGGGGCAGACAGGTGTACAAGTAGTCTTTGGGGCTGGTCAGGGCGTGCCAGCGGGCAATGAGCAAGTTCAGGGCTAGGGCCGAGCCCAGCAGCCGTCTCCAGCGGCCGCGGGGCAAATCAACGGACAGCAAGTTGATGTGGTGGTAGCTATCCCAGTCGAGGCGGGCAGCTCCGTTAAAGTTGTGTTTGGCGGTGTCGGGGGCTGGCGCCGGCGTCAGCTCGATGGTATACACGCTGAGCTCGTTGTGTTTGCCCGCGGTGGCCACGGTGAACAGGCGCCCCGCATCGGAGTAGGCGACGTCCACCGCCAGTACGGGACCGCTGACGTGGTAGACACGACAGCTTTCGTCGGCGTCGTCGTTGACCAAGTCGCGGACGACGAATTTGCCGTCGGCGGAGCAAGAGTAGAGGAAGCGGGCGGCGACGAAGCCGACGGCGACGATATTGTCTGACGGCTTTACCGTGGCGTTTTTCCACTCCTTATAGAGGACGTAGTCGTCGATCTGCCGCTGGTAGAGCTGGATCAACCCGTGGGCCCTCACCACCGCGAGCCACTGCCCCTGAGGGGTGTTGCCGACGAGGAGACGGGTGACGTGGTGGGCTGGCGCCAGAGCGATTTGGGGCGGGCTCCAGCGAGGGGTCAGGCCGATTCCGACAGCGCAGAGGGCGCCGTGGGTCGGCTTCAGCACCAACAAGTCCATTTTTGATGATTCTCTCGTACACGGCAAAACAAGACCCACTAGCAGTTGAACAACCAGGGTCTAAGGGTATATTTAGGAGAATCAGCAAAAAGCGTCTCGGGTCAGGTAAACAGAAAGGGTCAGATGGGGAACGCGGGACGGAGAGCGGGTTCGGGGAGAGTTCGGCGCACCAGAGGGTTTGGTAGGGGTGGTAAAGTTCGAGCGCGAGCGGTGCGAATGTTGGCCGATTTCTAGCACGGTTTCGGCGGGCGGCGTTGCGGTCAGGCAGCCCCGCGCTGAGGGGAACCGCGAACACGACCAGTCGACCAACAACCATACCACTAGAGAAATGCACTAAGTTGCGGTAAATAGGAGATATAGTGTTGTTTAGGTTGTGGTTTAGGCATAGTGTTATTTTGAGAGTGCTTTAGTTTGGTTTATTTGCTTGGTCTCTATCTTGCTTGGTCTCGTTTGCCAATTCCTATTTTGTGTAAGTGCGAACGAGGGCGGGTGATTATGACAGATAAGCGACACCAAGAAAGGATCCCGAAGATCACAGCGACAAAAGGAATGTAGGTTTGGGGGGTCGTTGTTGGTCGGTGTTGGTCTTTTGAGCCCAGGGACGGGTTCTCGGGGCCCGTGTCGCTATACTTTTTTTTTTCTTTCTTGATGTTGCCCCTTTAATAGTTATTTATAATATTCCTTCTTTGTGTTTGCTTGTTGCTGTGTGGCTAGTGTGGGCCGGTTAAGGTCGGGGACAATTTAAGCGCTCGGCCTCGCCAAAAGTGGAGAAAAAAAAAAAGCTAATTATGGAGTTCAAACAAGCGAGACCAACGAGAAAACGGACTAAAATAAGGGAACTAACCAACCAGTGGTGATGGGTGACTACAAACTAGCTAGCTTATGGCTGGTGTTGGCAAAAAAAGAGGTCCTACCCGGATTCGAACCGGGGTTGTTCGGATCAGAACCGAAAGTGATAACCACTACACTATAAGACCACTTATATCGGTTAAAAATTTCTGGTTCATGCTACGAAGCGGGTGGTGGGTATGAGATTCCGCCAAACTGCTTCAAACTACAATAAGTTTAGCACATTATGCTTTGAAACCACGTTGGCAATCATCTAGGTCATAAATCGGCCAACAAAACTCAGATTTGAGTCCAAATCAATCGAATCAAACTTGGCATAAGCATGGCTGAAAAACGTGAAAAATCATCAATAAATATACAATTACTAGTGAATGCTGCTTTAGCAAGTTACCAGCACTCTCTACTCATCAGTGGTGACTCATTTTCTCGTATTACACTCGTATCTATAACATTACATCGACAACACCTTCTTGATGGCGCGGGTGACGACCTCGGCGTCAGGGAAGGCAAAGTCTTCGAGTTCCTTGGCGTAAGGGGTAGGCACTTCGCACCCGGTGACTCTTTCGACGGGGGCGTCCAAGTAGTCGAACCCTTCCGATTCCATGATTTGGGCGCAGATTTCCGACCCGACACCGAAGGCGGGGAACCCAGCCTCCACCGTCACCAAGTGGTTGGTCTTCTTCACCGACTCGACGATCAGGGGCACGTCCATGGGCTTAATCGACCGCAAGTTGACCACTTCGCACGAGACGCCGTACTCCTTTTCCATGATTTCGGCGGCTTGCAAGCAGAACATCACCGAGCGGGTGTGCGACACCAAGGTGACGTCGGTACCTTCGCGCTCGATCTTGGCCTTGCCGATGGGGAGGACAAAGTCCGGCAGCAACGCTTCTTCGGAGATGTCGAATTCTTCACCGTAGGCGATTTCGTTTTCGAGGAAGATGACGGGGTTAGGGTCTCTGACGGCGGCCTTCAACAACCCACGGTAGTCCTCCGCCGAATAGGGAGACAACACCTTAAGCCCGGGGATGGACCCGTACCAGGCGGCGTAGTCCTGCGAGTGCTGGGCGGCGACACCGGCAGCAGCCCCGTTGGGACCTCTGAAAGTGATGTTACAAGGCAACTTACCCCCCGACATGTAGAAGGTCTTGGCGGCGGAGTTGATGATTTGGTCAATGGCTTGCATGGCGAAGTTGAACGTCATGAATTCAAGCACGGGCTTTAACCCGGCGAAGGCGGCACCGGTGGCGAGACCGGCGAACCCGATTTCGGTGATAGGGGTGTCGATGACGCGCTTGTCGCCGAAGCGGTCCAAAAGCCCTCTCAGCACCTTGTAGGCACCGTTGTACTGGGCGACTTCTTCACCCATCAAGAACACGTCCGGGTCGCGGTCCATCTCCTCGGCGATGGCCGAGTTCAACGCATCTCTTACGGTGATCTTCTTGGTGCCCAGCAGCGACAGCAGCAACCGCTTCAGCAGCTGGGCGAGGTCGAGCATCCGCAACGACTGGTAGGCCCCGGCGCCGGGCAACAGCCGCAACGCGTTGGGGTTGGTTTTCACTGCCTGGGCGGCAAGCTGGGCCGTTTTGGCTACTCGAGAAACGGTCATGGAGTGGGGGGGAAACACACAAGTTCAGCGAGGTTTGGCGGATGGGGCCTGGGGCACTGGTTATATAAAAAAAAGGGCTCCCGGCACGTCCCCTCCGGAACGCTACTGTCCATGGTGCGCCTAGCTTCTGTGCAGGACTGGGAAAATTGAGGAGGGGACCGAAGTAACTCAAAAAGACGATGACGTATATATAGTGTCGGATATGGCCGAAATTGGCTAGAAAGGAATGGGGGGGTTTACTAGAGGCCTAGTTAAGGTAATGATGAGGTTGTTACCACGTTTCAATGGCCTGGGGGGTGTTTTCATTGGCTGTTTCCCGCTGGCGATGGTGGCGGAGGTTAATGTCCTGGGGGCAAAGTGGGGTGGGCGGCACCCATCACAGACATTAAGGTGCGGCGACAATCGGAACCCATAAATACACGCAAAACCCAGGGAAGCGAGGAGATGACGGCACTTTGAGGTAGTAGTATTAATCTAGTGGTGGTAAAGTTTAATATTTCACGTTTGTTTAGTGATTTTTCACTTCTTTAGAGGGTATATTGGTAAGTAATTTATCTCTCCGGTAGTTAACGTCCAAATGTGTGTGGGTGGGTGATATATGTGTGGACTTAGAGGTACGTACGCGGGCTTGTGTCTCCCCCCCCGGAGACTACCGATGAAGCACCCCCGGGCCATCTAGGAACGCCCGCGATGCGGAGGCTCCCCCCGAGCGATGATCCACGTCAACTTAGATAACACAGGAAATTGATTAGGCAGAGATTGAGTGGATCAAAGAGGCTAGTAAAATCAAGTCTACGCGATGACCTCATAAATTTGGGAAATGGTTACGTTCTTGTACTATATAGAAGCTGCTAACGATTGCAACATTACCGTTTGGTTCTAGCATCGATCACAATTTAGTCGAACCAGTCAGTCTTCGAAGGTGACATTTGTAAGCAGTAGTTAAACAATTGGTAATTACCATCACCTTCATGGTTTTTTAGTGATTAGATTGGATCACTATCATCGTAAAAGAACCAAAGCAATACAGGGTTGGTACCCACAAGCTCATTTAGCCAATCCAATTGAAGCGTATGTTTGGTTCCAGCAACAATTAACCAATGACTATCTCAGGAAATCATGACAAGTCAAACCCTGTTTGACAAGTAACTAAGATTCATTTCTGGCAGTAATGATCAATGTCTTGAGTCAATCAGATAACTCGAGCTAATCAAAAATAAGATCTGTTCATAGTTTCATTGTTAGAGTCATTTTTTGGGCCACACGGAGTCGATATGCATTTGGTCCAAATCCGAGTTATACTCATCATTTGTAGCCTGATTGGGGCCGACGAAATGTTTCATAATCTTCGCCAAAAGCGTCGCTTCCGTGTGTTGAGTCAGCACGCCATCGGCCGCTCGAGGTCCACCCTGAGCGGCACTTGGCGTAGCCGTTCGTCTCCCTCTTCGGGGGACTCCCACGGCGGGAGGCAGCGCGACCAGATCACTCGCATTAGTATCGGATCCCAGCGTCACCGGATCGTAGAGAGACAGCGAGAAGATCTGGTGTTTGAGACTAGGGTTCTGCTTATTCGGCAGGGACCCTTTAGCCAGTTGTTGGCGAGCGACATCTCCCGTTATCATTGAGAATTCCGCAGGGGTGATTAATGGCATATAGTCATGGACGAGGGCAGTATCGTTCTCAGAGAGTTGAGTTAATGATGATACTTGTTTCAGAGGTGGCGGTGATGCCAGGGTTGATCTTTCAATGCCGTCATCGGCTTCAGCTTCGGGGGTAGCCGTCTGTAAAGTGTCTTTCGGGTGAGACTTAACTATCAGCTTTATCAAGGCAGCGTAGTCGGTAGTCACTTGACCCTGGTATAATTTAACTGAGTCTCTCAGTCGGATATCAAAATGGTCGGCGTGTTGGAGCACCAGCTGTTGGAACTGGAAAAAGTGGTGGAGCTTACCCAATTTGTTCGTCATTAGCTGGAGGTAGTCGCGATAGACGCGATTAACATCATTATAGAAAGTAACCAGGGCTTTTAGAAGCTCGTAGTTGCGTTCTAGCCAGATTCTGATGAGCTCAATGTCGCGTATAAGCAGCTGACGGCGGTCATAGCTGGCGAGTTCAGAGTCCAGAATATCCGAGTTTTGGAAGTGGATACGCAGAGACCGTAGCTTATTAAGTCTTTCGATTAATTCCGCTTTACGTTGACGGAATAACTCGTCTCTGTGGGAAACGTGGTGGGAGTCAAGGGCGTCTAACGCCGAAGAGAATTGGAGCCGTCGCTGGTCACGAGCATTCAGCGAGATCTCCTGGGGTTCATTTTCAATGAGTTCAGCGAGGTTGGAAGCTTTTATGGAGTTGAATTCTTGTTCCTTAGTCGATAATTGGAGTTCATCAGTAGGTTCGAATTTGGGTTCTACCTCCAGATCCAGCCCTCGGCTCCACCCTGTACGCTCATAACTCGCTTCAGGCTTCACTTTTTGATAATGTTGAGTGTATTCCCAGTCTCTTAGCGGCTCGTATTTGTAGTTGGCTTCGCCCATGGCTTCGTTATAGTCTCGGGTATCAATACCGTCAAAATCGATATCGTCAGCGTCCCCACGTAATCCTCTCCCCCTAAGACGTCGTCCGTGTCCGTTTGCAGCCAATCGGGCATCGTAATACTCCTGATCGAGCCCCTCTTCCCCTACTTGGTGATGGTAGTCGACTAACTGCCCCGCTGCCAGCGCCAAGATCATATCCACTCTTGGTAAGTGATCTTTAGCGTTTAACAACAATTCCACCACCTCTGGAGGAGTCAACAGGGCTTCCGATGCCTTTAAAGGGTAGGGCATAAAGTTAGCTGGTGGGAACGGTAGGGGAGGCGCGGGGACGTACTCAGCGAGATCGTCGGGGGTTTTCTTCTTTCGGCGGTCTTTTTCCAACCGTGTAAGCCGGCAGTACTGTTCTAGATTCGTCCGGAACGCCGCCATCGAGTAGGGTAACTGATGAGGGCGAATCACTGGGGGAGGCGGCCAAATGAACGGGATTTTCACTTCATCAGCACCACCGCTGGTTTCAGGGGGTACCGGGGGCGGGAACATCCCCAATATCTTGTTTATTTGGTGGCGGCGGCGGGGGTCGGCGTCGGCGGCGAAGTCGGAGAAGAACTCGTGAGGGTGGTGGGGCGGCGGCACAAGGGGGACAAAGTCATCGGGGACGTTGTGTAGTGCTGGGGTATCAACCACCAGTGCCAGAGCCACCCGGGGTTTTTTATTCGGGAAACTCATGGTCCTTTCTTGTATGATGGCGTGGTAGGACTATGGGTTGCAAAATGCGCACGGGCGCTGAGTGCTATGCGCAGGAAATTAGCTAGTCGAACAATGGTCAGAGTGTTGAAACTCTAAGCATTCGATCAGCGTGTGACTTTGCTAATTAGTTAAGTTTGGTATGTTTTTTTTAATGATTTTCGGTTTTAAAATGATGGGATCAAAAGTTTGGATGGATGCAGTTTATGGGTGTGAATGTAGTATACACGTAGTAGTAGAAGAAATTAGTTAAATTGGTGAAATTATTACGAAGAGCACTAGCTTGAAACAGAGACATTTCTAACTTAAAAGATAGTATTGCTATTATTTCCAAACTAAATGCCGGTCTTTATGGTTAAAAAGTGTACAGTGTAGAGTCCTTTAGAGAGACTAGAAGCCAATAAAAGAAGAAGCCGACTAAGATCAATCCCTACATAAAACATAGCCCAGTAGGATATTCCATCAAAATCAATCATTATTGCTAGCAATATACCATGCCACGTTGATTGCTATATTGGTATCCTCTCGCTTCCGTTGTTCGTGGCGCTTTTTTCTGGTGGGGCCGCGCGTGCCCCTATATGCACTCCCCAAAACCACACCCGACGACCCATGGATTGTTTTTCCTAGCATCGGCGTGAGCAATTGACCCATACCCCGCCACGGTCACCCCCCTCAGCGTCCACCTTTGAACCGGCGTGTTTTCTACTGTGCTGTGGCCAAATCTGTGTGTTATTACTTGCTAGTTGACACCCCGTGATCCGTGGCCGTTTTCCCTTCTTGTTGCCGTACTCCCCCGCTGTCGACGACGACCCCTGCGGCACCCGGTGAATTCCCAGTGATCTCCGCTTGATATAGGGGCACACACCTTCCACTAGTGGGTTTTACACCGTCAGAGCCTTTTGGTTTATCGTGGGAGCCCTTCTGACTACTGATAGCCACCTCATACCTTTCTGATCTTTTTTGGCACTCCAGTCCAGCATTTACCCGACTAAAGCGAGTTTAGCCGTTGCTACCACATCCACCAACACCACCACAAGCCCCATTTACTGGTTCCTTTCCTCCAAATAACCCCATGTCATCAAAGACCAAATTCGAACCCAAGGAGCTTGTGTTGGCGAAAATGAACGGCTACCCGGCGTGGCCGGCGTTTGTCATGCCTCATAGCGAAGTGCCGCCGCTGGTGCTCCGGGCGAAGAAGAAAACCAGCAATTATTGTGTGATATTCATCCCCGACGGCGACTACTACTGGATGAGCGATAAGAACTTGACGCGGTTAAGCCGTGATAAGCTCCGTGAACGAGTGGCGAAAGTGCCGACGCTGGTGCGACGCAATTTCGCTAAACGGCTGAAGAACGGGCGTACCAATAACGTCAACGAGGCCCTCCTCGCCGCCGAAGACGTCGAGTTCGACCTGTTTATCCAAAAGAAACGTGCTGAAGATGACGAAGACGATGAAGAAGAAGGAGAAGGAGAGGAAGGAGAGGAAGGAGAGGAGGAAGAGGAGGAAGAAGAGGGAGATACTTCCGTGAAGCAGGAGACCGATACTACCGGTGACGTTTCCGTCGATACTACGGCGCTGCTGGATCAGGCGCCGTCACGACGTAACAAGCGCGTCAAGGACGAGCTCGACGATACCGGCGACGACGCCACTGCTGCTGCCGCCAAACGGTCGAGAAATGGTAACGGTAACGGCACTACCGCTAAAACCAATGCCAATGCTAATGGTACTAACTCGCCGCCGGAGTTAAGCGACGATGAACGGCAAAAACAGTTATGGCAGTGTCGGATCAAGCTCCAGCGGACGTTGATTCAACGCAACCAACCGACAACACCCAAGGATACGCAGGGACTTAAGCCGCCGCTGGCCGACGAGCTCAGCATGGCGCGGTTCATCATGAACCGGTTACAGGATTTCCCCGTCACCCTTGATTTATTACGCCAAACCAAGATCCACAAAGTGCTCAAGTGTATCATCAAGGACGCCGACTTGGAGTACCCGGATCTGTTCAAATTGCACGAGCGGCTGAGCGCGTTGTTGGAGAAATGGGACCCCCTCATCCAGGAATTGAAGAAAGACAAGGGAGAAAAGTAACCTCTTTTCGGGTGAATTGTTGACGATGTAATATTACGACCAAATTACGAGAACGTCAATCTGAAGGTTCCTGTTGCTACCGCATAGTACTGGTTCTCTTCACATAATTACCAAAGTGGAGTAACAGTCAATTTACCAGTACGACGCCAGCCTCCCCGTATCAATCGCTTTTGATGGCCTGTCTTTCTGGACCACCAATTACAACGGTTGTGTATGTCATCGCGTGCGGATTTTTTTGGCACGCACACAAAGACCGGGTAACTCTTTGTCCCCGTTTGGGTGAGGCGGCTGCCACTTTATACATGCCGCTCATCGCGTGAGGCTGAGACGTACAATTTTACGTGGTAGAGATCAAACAGCAAAATAGGAGAGTATAAACAAATAATTGTCGACGTCGTAATTTTTTCACTAATTGGGAATAATTAGTTTTAATTGTTAGGGTTATTGGTTTCGTGCCCGGAACCAATTGATCCACCGTCCTCCAAAAACCAATGCCAGCAATAGAGGGACCCTGAGCGGCGGCCCCGCCCTTGCTCTGTTAAATTTAAAGCCCTGGAAAGAATTTTTCTCGTGACACGTGACCATTCCTGCATATAGCCGCGAGGGTCAAAAAGTGGAAAACTTTTTTTTTTCACTCTCATCTACCACTTATCGAACCATGGCTGAAGAAGACGTACGTACCCGACGATGAGGCCCTTGCCCTGCTAATGGAGCCAGTTCCATACCTTTATCTGCCCCGTTACTAACTGTTAGCACCACTTTGAGACCGCCGATGCCGGCGCCGCCTTGACCTACCCCATGCAATGTTCGGCGTTGAGAAAGAACGGGCACGTCGTCATCAAGGGCAGACCCTGTAAGATTGTCGACATGTCGACTTCGAAGACCGGTAAGCACGGTCACGCCAAGGTCCACTTGGTCGCCATCGACATCTTCACCGGCAAGAAGTTGGAAGACTTGTCGCCCTCGACCCACAACATGGAGGTGCCCAACGTTGTCAGAACCGAATTCCAATTGTTGGACATTGACGACGGCTACTTGTCGTTGATGACCGCCGACGGTGACACCAAGGACGACGTCAAGGTCCCCGAAGGTGAATTGGGTGACAAGATCCAAGCCGAGTTCGACGAAGGCAAGGACTTGTTGGTGTCGATCATCGCCGCCATGGGCGAAGAGGCCGCCATCTCCTACAAGGAAGCCCCCAAGGGTAACTAAATCCGTCTGTAATATACGACACGCTCCTCATTAACGTAGACTGTTAACGACTGTTAACATCCAAACATTGATCGAAATATCAATGAAATGAATTGATCACATCGTATTGAGATAGATTAAGATGAGTCGTTTCAATGCTTATTTGGTCTAGGCTCAGGCTTACTGGATATAGGTTCAAGCTTAGTAGAGTCCTATTAACTATTGAAGGAATTGCACTCTTAGGGGATGTTTAGTAAAATTGATTAGAACCACTGCTACAATTGAAAACATGAGATTTTTGGTTTTAGTGCCAACAGCGTGAGGTTCTCTTAGTCTTCTTAGCTTATATTAACCATGAAGAAATTGGACGATCATCACTAATTCAAAGAGATTTTATAAATTTGACACTACTGCTATAATTAGACTTTCAAAGTAGTACATGGAAGCACATAAATCATTCCATTGGGTGCATGCAAACTGAGTTGGCCCGTTGTCTACAGCAGTAGTGCTTCGCACGGCGTTAGTGCTCGCCATGGGCGTGCCGGCGACGCCCGAGGCTGAACACTTAGAGTGTGAAATATATCAACTAAACCCATGATTATGGAATTAAAAAGATAAAGAATGATTAGTAGAGCACCAACAAAACCATCAAATAAAGACTTTACTTGGTTGTGGTAGTCTAGAGACGTAAGCAGTTTATGGTCGCCCCCTGCGGAGCAACCGGAGGAGAGTCGGACGACGACGTACCACCACTTGCGCCACCGGCAATCGCCCCACCACCTACAAACGACCTTACTCCAGTGCCATTAGCTTTAACTATCAATTTTAATTACTCCTTCTTCTGTGTTTCCCCTTACTTTTACTGGATTCAGCAATGGTGGGGCGGTGGGGGGCAATCGCTGCCGGCAATTTTATATCTACCCACAAATCGAGCGAAAATTATTAGCCGCGGCGCACGCCCCCTGAAATGGCAAATATAAGCCCGCCAATTTGGAAAAAAGCCGTTTCCTGGTGGCTGTTGTCCCAGCTGTTGTTTCAGTCAACTGCTAGTGGCATTCTCTGATTAGCGGTTGGATGGAGGCGCTGACTACCGCGACGAGCGCCATGGCTAGCGCCCCTGGCAGCGATCAGCCGCGCCCGGCGCCGCTGGGGCAGCCCGACTTGCGGCTTCTGACGCCCGCTACCGTGCTCTTGTATGTGGCATTAGTTGTCGGGGTGGTTGTGTTTCTTGTGTTTCTGTTTTTCACGTTCCGCTACTTCGTCAGGGCCAAATACGGCCTCCACCTTACCTCGTTGCGGCGCCACCAGGGGGGCGGGCTGGGCGACGCCGAGTGGGCGGCGATCACCCACCACCGGGAGTATTTGGTCCACCAGCTCCACCAGAGGTTTTTGACGAGATCAGGCCACTTGGTGACTCCCAGGGGAGACCGGAGACGGCGGCAGGGGTTCGCTAAGATGAAGAAGCTTACCCCCTCTCAGGTGGAGGCGCTCTTCCCCGCGCGCCCTTATAAGGAGTGGCTCCAAATTGAGGACGAACACGACCTCGATAACGACGCCGACAACGATGCCAGAGGCCTTATTGTGGTCGAGGAGAGTGCAGAAACTGAGGGCGATGTCACTGATGGTAATTTGGTAGGTAAAGGTCACGTGGCGACGACGCTGGCGGCGTGTGGCGACTCGGTGGAGCTCCACTTCGATACCGGCGGGTGTGCCATTTGTCTTGACCTGTTTGAGGATGATGATGTTGTCAGAGGCTTATTATGTGGCCACCCGTTTCATGCTGATTGTCTTGACCCCTGGCTCACGAGGCGAAGAGCCTGTTGCCCCATGTGTAAACGCGACTACTACCAGAAGGAAACCACAGAAAACACCGTTGGAAATGATGCTGGAGGATCTGGAGACCTTGCCTCAGAGTTTAGCATTGATTTGGATGCGTTCCGAGACGACCCCGACGTCAGGGCGTTGCTCCACCAGTTGATCCCCCCAGAGAGTAGAGTGCGCCACTTACTCGAGGATCCGGCGGTACAACGACTGGGGATTGAAGCTGAGGCTGAAGTGAGGGCAAACAAGAAGTATGGCGGTATGGGTAAAAGAGTATGGTGGAAACTCATGGGTATCTCGAAAAAAGATATCTTCAACTGGGCGTTCCTCGAACTCTACCACAGTGGCGCCACTACGACTAACAATACCGGAGAAGAGCCTAATGATACTACTAATCGAACGCCTTCTCCTGAAGTTGCCGTGGAAATGACGGAGTTGACGACTACCGAGCCTATAGTGCCGGCACCGGTACACGTACGGGCGCCGTCGCCGGAGCCGCTGGCGGCAATGGCAGCAGCGCGGGTGGCCTTAGTACAGAATCGGGTATAACGTCAACTACTCCCACCATCTGCTTCAACATTGTGTCATCCTTATTATTGATGGTATCGCCTCGTAATTGGTGAACTGCCCTTATCAGTGCTACTGAAATTGACAAAAAATTGCTCTGAGGAAACACTGGACCTTAATATCTCTCACTTTGCAATCGAATTGATAAGTGAAGATGCTAACATTTGGCAATTTAACCAGCGACAAGCTCGAACATTTGAGACACAACGATTTTAATGATGATTTAATGTCTTGCTGATTCTATTCCCGCTGCTATTCATTCACATATTCATCCCGGTAATCACTTAATTATTTGCAAATACCTCCAGATTACCCCCGGGAACTGATTTTTATTTATCTTGAATACCACAACAATTAAATCTTCTAATCATTTGGTCCAGGAAGCGAGTGTTTGGTTCTAACATCCAATTCGTTTAAAAACGGTTAATTGGTTCTAGCAACAACGCTAAGCTCATGTTTGGTTCTAGCAACAACGGTACTACCAGTGACTATTTGTCGTTCACTGATTCTAGCAACATCGGTCACCAGTGACAGATTACCATAGTAGTCTCGATTGCAATTGTCGCCTCGATCCGATTTAATAACATGAAACTCGTTTTTAGCTGATAATAATTCTTTAGAAGATAAGCATTTTTACAATCACCGCTTCTCAAATATGGAGATGTTCTTCCATCAATTGAGGCTGAGATCGCATTCTACTACTACTATATATCAAAACTTCTAAATGACAGTCGACTGTAGTTTCATCTTTTATCACATTTGCACTTCAATAAACATTAATTTCAAAACCCCTTTTCTTTATCAGTTGTGTTTACTTCCTGCGATGAGTTTCTCACGGGTATCCCTCACAGTCGCGATGAGCCACAACCAAGACCACCTCTCAGAATTCAACTAGAAACAAGTCAATTTAATTAGATGAAACAGAAAGTAAGTCTTTTCGATCACATTTAATAAATTTAGAGGGTCGGACGGGGGGCCCGGCCCCTGGCGGGGCGGGCCGGGGGGTTCACCCCTGGTGTCCTGCAGGCATCGCCGGGAGAAATTTTCACGCAAATCACCTCAATCATCACACACACTTTACCTTTACCACCCCCGTGCCCTTTTTGATTACCCCGTAATTAACGCAAGATGGCACCGAAGAAGGGAACGAAGATGGACTTGGGCGACTTCCTCGCCGACGACACGCTTGGCGGGTCGCTGTGGGCCGACGAGGACGTTGATTTCAGCGCCATTGGCTCGACGGCGGCGGTGACCACCGCCGCCGTCCCCAGCGCCGGCTCGGGGTTCAGCTCGGGGTTTGGCTCGGGCGCCGCTGGCGGGTCGCTGGCGTTTGGCCGCGGCGGCGACGACGCCTTCCCCCGCCGTGAGCGCAAGGAGTACCCCGTCCCCGACGCGCCCCCTTACCGCGCCATGGTGCTGAACTTGCCCTGGGAAGCCAACGACTTTGGCCTCCAGGAGTTCTTTGAAACGTTGATGGACGGGCACGACCTCATCAAGGACATCGACATCCCCAGAGACCGCGAGCTGGACAGAATCAGAGGGTTTGCTTTTGTTGAGTTCCACACGAGAGAGATGTTGGAAGAAGCGCTCAAGACGCTGAACACCGAGTACATTGGCCGGCGCATTTTCGTGTCGGTGGCGGCGCCGAAGAACGACGGGTGGTCGCGGGTCGGCGGGTCGCGCTTTGGCGACGACGTCGACTTGGACTGGGGCGCCGCCCGCTCCAGCCGCGCCACGTTGCCGCCGAGAGAGCGCGGCGAGCGCCCGATGCGGTCGCGCCCCGTCGACGACGGCCCCGAGTTAGACTGGGGCTCGGCTAGAGGCAGCGGCCAGTTGCCGCCTCGCGAGCCGCGCGGCGAGCGCACTTTCAGACCTAAGCGCGACGACGACGGCCCCGACTTGGACTGGGGCTCGGCCAGAGGCAGCGGCCAGTTGCCTCCCCGTGAACCTCGCGAACGCACCTTCCGCCCTAAGCGCGACGAAGGTCCCGATTTGGACTGGCTGTCGGCCCGGGGTAGCGGTCAGTTGCCCCCGCGCCGGGCGCCGGCGCCGCGCCGCGACGACGCCGCGCCTAAGCGCACCGAACCCGAGCTCGACTGGTCGCGCGGCCAGCGGTTGCCGCCGCGCCGCAGCGCCGCCGCCGCTAGCGCCGCCACTGGCGCCGGTGCCGGCGCCGCCAAGGCTGACGACAAGAAGAAGGAAGACAAGCCCCAGCTGCTGCTGTTTGCGGTGTTGGCGGTCGACGACGACGACGACGACGCCAAGGATGAAACTCATGGTGAAACCGCCGCCGACGCCGACGTCGCCGACGTCGCCACTAAGGTGGCGCTGTTGGCGGTGGAAGAACCCACCGACGACGGCTGGGAGGTCGTGGGCAAGTAGAATAGGCCCCTATCTCTGTAATGACATAGAATGGATATATTAATGCACCCCCTGTAACAAGTGACCACCCACGCTTACCCCTGTACCCACCCCTGTAACACCCCCTGTTACCAGTGACCAATTACCCCTATCGCAGGTTTCAGATCATCGAAGCAGGTTTTAGAACATTCTTTTCGGTATGATTGCCGAGGTGTGGTTGCCGCTTTAGCAATTAGCGTTTCGGTGTATGCCTAATATTGCCGATGACGCATCGGATTTATTCCCTCACGCCCCTCTATGTATGCGATAGGGGCAAATGTTGTCGGAGTTACCTGGGCGTCGAGACGTCATCGGATTTAAATTCACTCACGCCGCCAAGCATGGTTGCGCCTTACCGGATTTAGTCATGCTCGGCCCGCCACCATCCAACCATTTTGGCCGCCCGCCATAAAGTAAAAAGCTTAACTCAATTAGGGTACGAAATTTGTGAAGTGTAATATTGAATTTATATATTGAAACAAACGGTGAAACAATTGTTAAAACAATAGTTGAAACATCGCTTGAAACACCCTCTGTTTAGTTTCAGGTTGACGTGGTTATCTGATCGAGTGATCGTGGTCACAATCTGTATCATTCACATTTTGTGTCACCAAGTACCATCGGCCGGTGCCGATTGAGTTGGCTTCTAGAAGCATCGAAGTAATATAGGGACTCTCGCCGGCGCCTTAATGACTGTGTGCAGTACGCCACACCCAAATCTAGTGGTATGTGCGAGCCGCGGGCTGCGTAACCAAGAAAAATCTCGGTGGCGTGGTGCGCATAAAGTGAGAGAAAAAGACATTGCTTGGGGTACAGTCGCCTGCTATATATACCCTCGTTCCCCCCCACCCCTCCTCCGTCAATCAGATACATTCACCATAACGTGTTTCACCTGTCTCCCCAAACCCGTTTCAGAGCGTGGTGATGAGCAAGATCAAACGTGTCCGCACCGGGTGTTGGACGTGCAAGAAACGGTAAGTTTTGACTAAGCGGGTGCCCCCCCACCCACGATCACATCATCCGATGCCCACTCCCCCACCCCCCACGATACAAGGGGGGTGACGAGACATGGGTATCGTTTCACATCGTGTGTCATGTCATGTTTCACATACTAACCATAGCCACCGCAAGTGCGATGAAACCAAGCCTGAGTGTCACAACTGCATCAAACTGGGCCAGCGCTGCGAGGGGTACGGGTTGCGACTCCTGTTTGACGTTGACGACGATCGCAACCAGCGCCGCGTCGACGCCGACGGCAATTACCGGGTGGCGTTTGTCGGAAAACCACGTCTGAAACTGACGAAGAAACGTCGGCATCAGCTGACGGCGGTTTCAGCCAATGGTGGTAGCGCCGCGCTGTTATACGATAACTTGGATTCCCTCCTCGACCTCCCCGATTTAGAGCGGATGCTCGCGATGGATCCTGTGGTCCAATTACCCCCCAACGTGGAGCTCCCGCTACCGCCGGAATTAGCAGTGCCGCCGCCGCCAGCGCTATCGCCGCCGATGCCAGTGCCGGCGCCGGTGTACCAGGAGCCGCCGCGGCCAATGCCGCTACCGGCGCCGCCCATACTCATATCTGAAACCACCCCTGAAACATCTATTGAAACATCTACTGATACCACTCCTGAAACTACTGATGAAACCACTTTAACTCAGGAGGAAGAAGCAGCAGCGCTACGTCACTTCTTCGATACGTTACTCCCCATGCTTGATAGCAACCCCGAGCTGCCGTGGCCTCAGTTAGCGTTGAAATACTGTGACTTTGACCTTGCCCGGCTGTGCTTGATGGCATTGGCGGCCGTCCACATGTATGAGCTGGGAGCGTGTACGTACCAGTTTTACCGTAAGGGACTTGCAAACATGGATCGGGTGATGCGGTGTTTGGTAACTACTATTCACCGCCAAACCACCACCACTACAGGCGAATCTGAATCCGAAACTGATGATGAAACACTGAAGGCGCTGGTGATGCTGTTCGTCATCCTTGTGCTTATCCACGTCCACGTGATCTTCGCCTGTATGGAAACAGGTCAACTGGCGCTCTCCCGCTACTTGTTTCAAGTGTTTGGCGTTATCTGCGACTCGCCCCAGTTCCGGGCGCAGGTGGCGCAGGACCCGCGCAAAGTGGCGATGATGGGCTACTTACTGGTATACGATACCGTAGCGCTGGTGGTGTCACCCGATGCGCGCGTCCCTTATTGCCACCCTCAGTGGTTTGGCGATATCAATACTGACCTCTCCACGTTGTCGTTGATGGGGTGTCCCGGTGAGGTGTGGCGGTGCATCCACCGCATTTGCCACTTGCGTCACGCCACCCGCGCCGGCGCCAGCGGCGCCAGCGCCGTCGATATCAGCGCCGAGGTGGCGCCGCTCCATCACCAGCTCCTCCAGTACCGCGACTACGTGCCGCCGGGGCGCGACCACGGCGTCGCCGTCAGCGCCGCCCGCTGCTGGCTGCTTGCGGGTTTGGCGGCGCTCGCGCGGGTGGCGCAGCACCTGGCGAGCGCCTACGTCGACGAGTTTATTATGGTGTACGGGCTGCTTGACGGCACCAGTCGTGTCGTTACCCAGATGGTGTGGCCGATCCACGTGATGTGTGTTTCAAGTGTCACCGAACACCAACGACAGCTGATGATGGCGTTCTTACGGTTTCAACGCCAATTCACTCAGATGAAACAGTACACGTTGATGCAGCTGATTGTTTCAGAAGTGTGGGCCACGGGAGCCGACGTCGACGTGGTGACGGCGAAATTCGTGCCTCCGGGGCATGATTATTTGTGCATTTAAGGGCGTCGCCAGCGCCAGCTGGTGACCGCGAGTCATATAGAGTATACACTTAAAATTCATACTTCCATTAATATCTCGGTGTAGGGGCATTTTAGGCTTATAGGAGTGACTGGGATGGGATGCCACTGACTTAGACTACCATTTGCACTAAGTTTGAACAGTATATCACTAATATTGATGGAGAAGCACAAGCCCCATTTGTACTAGTCTGGTATCATAAACCGGACTTATTTTTACTCTCAACAGTCTTTGGTAGTATAACGGTTAGTATTTCCGCTTGTCACGCGGGAGATCGGGGTTCGATTCCCCGCCAAAGAGCTTTCTTTTTGCACCTGGCGGGGTCCAGGTTTATGCATTTTCTTTTCATGTACCATATCATGTAATTCTGTACTGTTCTGGGCCCCATTGTAGTGTCCTTTTTGTACTTGTTTCTGCTCGCACTAATTTACACCAGAGACAATTGCACGGCAGAATTGATACCAAACACAGTTGATCTACGATTCCCTTCCTTTCAAATATCGCTATGGCATCTAGGGATTAGAGATTAAGGCATCAAATGCAAATTTCAAACATCTCAAAGCCATAGATTGGTGTTCGCCGGCACTTATAGATATATGGTTTTCACAACTCTAAATTGATATCAATTACTAGAAGAACTCAACATCTCAATGCAATTGAATGATTACGAAATGACCTTGAAAATGAATGTCTATTAAAGCGGATGGCTTTCAGATCAAGATGACTCTCGAAGTAAAGGTTTCTCGATTGTAGTTTGAAGGTCCAAAATAAGGTCGACCATTGCAACCCGCCATCTTGAGTTCCACACCACCCGATACTTCAAAAGGAACACGTTGTTCCTGTAAGGGTGTGATTATTCAGATTGTGTTATGATTTATCTTGTATCCATTTACTCAGCCGGCTCTCGTATATAACCATCAGAATCTACACGCCAAACGATATAACAAGATTTGGGTGCTGGCACCAGTAGAGGCTAACTAGTCTGTATTAGCTACCACCCAAAAGAACCATATTCAATTCGTTTTCATCAGCAAAGAGCCACTAACCTCATATTACAAGTACTAACCCCAAAAAATTATAGTAGACGTGACGCCCAAACATTAGACGAAAATACAAAGGATACAATCATGAGTAGGATCATCACGCTGTCCATTATTGTTTTTATCAATACAGAATAGTACACAGAGAGCCACTAACCTTATATCTCAAGTACTACACCGGTACACCAAACGAACCCTCTAAAGCTTTCAAAGTTTAGTAGTGGATATCATGACTAGACTCATCATACCATCATTTTTGTAAATTAATATTTCCATGGTTACCATACACATAATCACCCATAATGAGGCCGCTTAGGATCCGGTAAACCACCCTTCTTCTTCCGTTTCCCCTTACGTTCCTCTTCTCCCTCATCACGCATCAACGTTTGGTTATCACTTATCGCCAAATCAACATGATTGAACCCGGAAATCCCCGTCGGGGGACTCTTGTCGAAGTGCAAGGCCTGCTTGAGCAATTCGGGGTCCAAGGCGCGGATCGTATTGGGATTAGTGGCCACCAGCGGGTTGAGAATCTCAGGATTCACCGGTTTGGCTTGGGAGACTTGGTGTTTGCCCGGTAAGTCGACAATATGGTTTTTGTACAGTTTTCTCAACTTGACCCCCTTGGAGCCGTCGGGGTTGGTTCGGGCGAGCGACCGGGCCACTGCTTCTAACCCGTACACGGCGAGCAAGTTGTCGCGGGCGGACGGCTGCGGGAGCGTGTACCGCTCGTGGGACACGAGGTAGTACTCAGGCATGCCCACTGACGACTAAAGGGGAACAATAGTTGAATTTCGCACTAGAAAATTGCGGGAAAAAGGTACGGCTGGGACTCGAACAGACTCCGACCAAACCGTCACCAGTACATGATTCTCCCCCACCCCCTTCCCCAATTCCAGCCTAAAAACAACCGTAACCAGCTCTTACATCATTCTAGAGGTCGAAAATTCCCTTCTATATTTAGCTATTGGCTCAATTCTCCCTATATGGCAATAGGGGGCCGCCCCACGCTTGCTCCCCTCTCGGCAGTGCCGGAACAACCGAGAGTATAAGAAGCCCCCGTCGCCCCTGAGCCATCTCCACCACTTAGTGATTTCATTACAATGCTCCAAGGAACGTGTCTTTGCGGGATGGTGCTGTTTGCCGCCCAGAACCCGCCCCAGAACCCCACTGTGTGCTTCTGCTCCAACTGCCGGCGCTCTTCCGGCCACTTGGGCCAGCTCGTTGCTCCGTTTGACACTGAATTTGTCGCCTGGCACGATACCGGCAATCAAATCAAGCGGTACGTGATGACTAACACCAAGCTGGGCAAGCCTAACGTCAAGCTCTTTTGCGGTAACTGCGGTTCTACTTTAGCGCTGATCCCTGGTTGCTGGGACGGTAAGAAGACGGAGTTGAGACTCACGCTTGTCGACGAGTTTAAGAAGGACTACTTCCCCGTGAGTAAGTACATGGAAGAGTCTGAAGCTGACTTTTTGAATGGTAACCCACCCGTTAACTTTGTCTAGATTTAAGGTTATAGAGTGGAGTTTTGGTGTTGGTGAGAGGGGGACGACGTGTGGAAGTATACGCTCAAAGTGTGATCCCTCGTAGAGCCCACGAGCCCACCAGTGCCGTCAATGGGTGCCTATTGCCAAGAAAACCGTCAAGTTGCTCTCGCTTTCTCGGTTGGTTAATCTCCGTAAACGTGTACTCTCGGAGTCCGGATCATTTCCCCGCCCAGCAGCAAGGCGTCGCCTACTGTAGACTCGTAGACAATTTAGGCATTGTAGGCAGTAGGCGGTAGGTTAGTATTCGACTACTTCATTCGATGAGCAATAGTCGAGTGCTCTCTGAATTACAGCTTCTATGTGTTGTAACTCACAAGAGACACCGTTCGCTCGAAATCAGTGGCATACTCTTCGAGACTGTCAATTTTCATTGATTCAAGGTTGAAGTGATGATTGTTCTCGAGGCATCTGTCACACCGCTTGTATCCGTACCATAAAAGAACTTTTTTTTTTGAACTATCTCTCTAGTTAATTAAAGGCCACCGAGTCCTCGAGACAAGAAATTCTCGGGGCAAGAAATCAGCAACTCGGCGACGTCGGTACAGTAATTACACGTTCGAAGGGTAATTACACGTCGGTTGCATAACCGAAGTGTTCTCGATGCATATCGGCAAACTGAGTAGAGCACGACCGTATGGCGAAAAAAGAAAAGAACCAAGTGGGTTGAGACGAAGGTGCTAGCTCTGATCGAGGTTGTTACTTCCCCTTGGTTAATTTGGCTCGATCGGAAAGTATAGCGTTTGATGTCACAAGTCTTCTGACTTTCAAATGTTGATATAGATTCAAAGAAGAGAGAAGCAAGCGACAGAATTAGCATTACAACTCGAAAAAGATAACTTTAAACCATTACCGAAGCCACGAAATACGAACCTGACATCCAGTCGATTCGACTAAGGATTACCGTTCAAACCTCGAAAATGCCTGCGGAAGAAGTACCTACCATATGCAGCGAAGGTGAAACAAAACGTCATTCTACACCGCCAGTGATGTCACCGAAAGCCATATGTAAATGTACATATCTACGGCTTAATTCGAGTCACTCTCAATAGCTGTGGGGACATGAGAAGTACTTTCTTCCAGCTTGCATCACTGATTAAATAGGATTTCTATTTCTATATACTGCGCCAGGCTCTCAAAAGAGCCTCGCTCATATTCTATCATTAACATATAACTTCATCTAACGTAGTCTAGGACTGTAGTAACACGATTAGCTAGTCTAGCTTCGCTTATTGCACCACAAAGTGCTCGACGTCGAACTTTTCCGGCGAGATACCCATCTTGCCGATGTAGTCCTCGGCTTCCTGCTTCAATCTCGCCGCGGTGGCGTGGTCCCAGCCGTATTCGTTCTTCATCAATTCGACAACACCGGGGACAGCCGCCAACGCTTCTCTCGCGTTTAAGAACGCCAATCTCGTTCTTCTGGCGAGGAAGTCGACGGGGGTTCTAGTATATTCATATTCCATCAGGTACAACAATTCCGCCACGGTGAAAGGCTCGTCGAACGAGGCGTAACTCAAAGTGTTCTCCTCGTGAGCTTCGCGGTGAGAGGGACGGAACATCGAGGTGGCAGCTAAAGTGACGGGCAACTTGTTGTAGTCGGATTCCGAGTATTTCTCCAAAATAAGCGACGAGCGCAGCCCGTAGTTGTGGGACAAGTGCTTGGCCAACTTAAGGGGGATGTGGTACTCGTGGATCAAGCGGGCAGAGTAGTTTTTGTGGTAATCCTCGCCGCCCAAAAGCACGATTTTGTTGGTCTGGCACGGCTTCAAGTCGGTGCGGGTGGGGAAGGCGGTCTTGATGACGGTGTCGACGGTCTCTTGGGCCATTTCGCGGTAGGTGGTCCACTTACCCCCGGAAATCGTGATCAAATTCGAGGGCAGCACCGTGATCAAGTGCGATCTCACCAACGCCTGGGTGCCGCTGTCGCCGTGCTTGGGCGCCTTCAGCGGGTCTCTCACAAGGGGACGGATCCCCGACCACGCCAGCAACACGTCGTCTCTGTCGACGGGGAACACGACGTACTTTTGCAATTCCTTTAAGATGTCCTGGATTTCGACTTCCGAGGGTACGGGGTTTTCCGGGACCGACTTCAAGGGAGTATCGGTAGTACCGGCCAACACCTTACCTTGCCACGGCAAAAAGAACATCACTCTGCCGTCGGAAGTCAGCGGGTCCAAGAGACCAATGTCCCGAGGGCAGTAGTATTCCGGCAACACCACGTGCACACCGGAACTCGGCACCACCATCTTGGGAGCCTGGGGAGTTTTGGGGGGCAAACCTTGAGGGTCGGCGTCCATTTCCAAGATCCGGTCGGCCAAGGGGCCGGTGGCGTTGACCACCGACTTGGCTCTGACCACGTGTTCCTCGCCGGTTTCTCTATCGACGGCCCTAACGCCGATGATTTTTCCATCTTGTTTCAACAATTGTTTCACATCAAAGTAATTCAAAACAGTGGCCCCCTTATCGATCGCGGTAATCGCCAACGTCGCGTTCATTCTCAGATCATTAAACGACCCGTCGTGGTAGACACACGCCGCCTTCAAGTTGGCGCAGTCCATCATCGGCGCGATCGCTGACGTCATCTCCTTCGAGAATACCGTCAGATTACGAATGTTCTGAGTGCCAGCAAACCAGTCGTACATCTTGCACCCAATGAAGAAATAGGGCACTTGCCACCACTTGTACACGGGGATCATGATCGGGAGCACCGAGACCAAGTGGGGCGCCGTGCGCAACATATTGCCTCTTTCGTTCAAGGCCTCGATTACCAAATCAAGCTGGTCCTTCAGCAACTGGAAAATCGCTTTTTCGAGATAGCGGACCCCGCCGTGAGCCATTTTCGTCAGTTTCAGCGACGTACCGGAAGCGAAATCGGTTTTTTCAAGCAATACCGTGTTGAGGCCCCGGGTCTGGGCGTCGAGGGCGGTACCGGTGCCGGTAGCGCCCCCGCCAATAACTAACACGTCGAACTGCTGATTAAGCCGCGAGACCAACTCGGCGCGCAGCGGCGGCGGCGGCGCCAGCTTCACCAACGGCTTGCGCCCGACGACGCGGGTCAGCGGGTTCGGGGCGCGCCCGTAGTCAAGGTAGAGCACGGTGGCGCCGCCGGCGGCGGCGATACCCGCGGCGACCTTGACCGCTTTCAGTTTAAGAAAACGTGACATTAAGGTGTATGGTGTAAGGTGCGCTCAAAGCGCCCGAGGGCGCGCCGGCGGGTGGGTTTATATAATCGTTGACCCCTGGCGCGGGCGACATTGACACAGCACCCACGCGTGCGCCGAGTGTGTGCGCGCGCGCGCCAAAGGCAAGCTTAACACAGCTGCTTACCCTGAACTACGGGGCTCCCAACTGGACATACAAAAAAAAAAAAAAAAATTAGAAAAGAAATCCTTTCCACCGAGCCGAAAAGCCACCAAACATGAAGTTATGGTGGCAGTAGATATTGTTTATGATTATGAACACCTAGTCACCCCGACTTCGCCACATTACGAAACACTGCCCCTGTAACATATCTATAACTTAATACGAAACCGATTCTGTTACTCCGGTGTCGGGCGGCAAGTTTTTCGCGGCAACTTTTTTTTTTCCTTCGTTAACAGAACCTCGGTTCGGCGTTGCGGATGTGTCAAACCACGTAAGCCCATCGGGTTTACTACTGGCCAATGATGGCAGACCGTTGGCGCGGCATGACACCCATGTGATCGCCCTCCCAAACGGATACCCGGAGCCTCATAGCAAGCCTCGTTGTGGGGGTAGTTGGTGGTGTGATACTACGGGTGGATGGAGATAACGTTTGAAGCTTGAGTAAGGTGATGAGCCCCAAAACTCTAGGATGACCCACGAGTGAGGAGAAACGGAGCGGGGACACACATCTCACAAAGGACAGTCACCAAGTTTTTCGCTTACGTAAGGACGTGCTCGAAACCCCCTAATCGTATTGGTTTGGTAGTGGTGGATCGTAGTGTCCCGGGGAAGTGAGGTACCCCTCCGGGCGCGAGGTGGGGTCAACTGCGGGTAACCGAGCCGATAGAGGGTTCACCTGACAACCATATCTAGGTTTGAAAAATGTGAAACACCAATATTGACCCGTACCTTTTTGACGAGTTTCAAAGTATTTTTTGTGTTTCAGTTCTACTTAGTTGTCATTTTCGTAGTAGTGTCATCGTGATGTCGGTGTTAGTATCGGATCTGATGATTCAAACAGGGAAAAAAGCGGTGCAATGTGGTGCGGGTCCCGTTTGGCACAGCTCACAGACGTTAGTCACAGCGTCTCTACATTCATGCACCAGCCACAACGGTATATAGGCACGCGACGGTCACTACCTCTAAGCGCTGGTACAAGCCTCGAGTCCTTAACTAAACACTACAGGCTAAGCAAGGTACACAAGAGCACATTTATTGGTCTGCCTTTTCTTTCTCTCGCATAGACGAAGCAGTAACAATGCCGCTCAGATAGATACCATATCGTTAGGGTTGATTGCAATATTATTAGGCTATGGTGTGATGGCGGCCCGCCTTAGCGGTAGGGACGATCCGAGGTGTCCGTGTGCGACCGCCTAATGCCGAGAGACAGCGCTTTTCTTCGGGGCATTTCCTCCGCGATGAGCGAAATATCTTTCCAAAGTCGACCACCCGCGCTACCTTAAGATTTTTCAGAATCTGTCTAGCCCTATTTAAGTGGTCGATGCAGTCTTCGCGGTTTTCGCATTTTTCACCGAAAACTTTTTTCTCTCCTGCATATGACCACGCACCACTAATGTTCACCACTCGATTATAAAAAAAACTTCATCGCGCCCTCTAACCAAATGGTCCCAGCGAAACAGGCACCCTTTTCGGCATGGGGGATCACCATTGTCCGGGGTAAGCGGACACTCGCGTACCCGCGCTACCCCGCTCAACACACTGTGGAAAAATCCCACCCAAAGAAGGACCACTCGTCGACTTTTGCCCGGGCGCTTAAAGCGTGGTTGGGCCCCAAAAACATCCGGGGAGAGTACTACCGCAACCGCTACTACTACCCGCCGCAAAACCATAAGCTGAATTATGTCGTTGTCGACGGCCAGACCGTGGTTGACCTGACATACAAGCCGAAAGTGTTGGACAATAACCTCCACCCGTTCCCGCTTAATCCTCAGTGCCGCACCGCTTTGATGATCTCTAATGAATTGAAACAAGAGATCGTCAAGGAAGTTAAGGAGAATGGCTTACATTACCAGGAAGTCGCTCACAAATACGGTATTTTCATGCTGAGAGTGGAGGCCATTTGCAAATTGCACGACATCGAACACCAGTGGAAACAAGAGGTAAGTTTATTTCCTTTACATGATGAGACAGAGAAAAAATATTCGATTAGTCTTTAAGACCTACCCGTGGTTAGAAATCGCTCGTTTCTGAAAATTGTCCAAAAACAAACATATACTAACAGTTATAGAACCAGGTGCTGAAGGACTTACAGGTGTTTGCCGACACCATGTACAAGATGTTCCCGTTGTACCAGCCTCCCGTCAACGCCGATAACTTGACGGAAATTCCTACGCCGCAAAAGACGTTAGCCCAAAGATTTTTGACCATTGCCGAGCTGGAACCGTTTGGACCCGTCGACGCCGCTCGTCTTTTGGATTTACCCGTTGCCCAAGAGACTTTACACAAGTTGACTGACTTGGACCCTGAAGAACAAGCCGCGGCATCGTCTCACCACCAAAATACGGTGGTGGTCGGTACCGAAAAGCAAGGTGACCGCACTCAATTTAAGTTCACCAAGGGCAAATCGGGCGACATCGGCTTCAGATACGGGGCGCTGAGACGCGATAAGAAGAAGGACCGCGCCGTCGGCTTCGACGCCGCCGGGAAAATGGTCTACTTGTAGACCTCTGTATATAGTTATGATAACGACCACGACACTCGACAAAACGTCGATTGAAATCCGAGACAAATAGTAGGACAAACAAGCTATCATCACCGTTAGGGAGTATCGTCATGGCAGGCTGTTTTCATTATGGCTATAGAGATACTCACTAATCACCACTGATTGACCAGTAGCAGCGTTAGACAATGATTATAGCCAAAAAATATTGATCAGGTGGTTCAAGTTTTACGCTGGAGACTCGATTACGGGAATCTTTTCGTTAGAGGTGGCTGTGGTTGGTGTCTTTGCACTAAGTTTATAGGCGGAACAACTTTTGAATCATCAAATCGTAGTTTACTCGACTTAAATATATTATGGGTAGATCAACATTAGCAAAATAACAGGCCTATTGCTCAATTTTTTTGTTCTTGTTCACTAGATTACTGTCATGGCCATGAGCTCGAATAAATTGTATGACACCAGCTTTTAATCTCCATACAAACGTTACTCGCCCCAACATTTAGAACACTTTGATACTGACAAAACTTTATGGACTTCGAAGTTCCATAAAGATCTACTATCCCACACAAACTTGACAAAAGTATATATGCAGTACGAGACCGCCAACTTGCAGGTGCGATCGGTACCGGGACAACGCCTCCCTCGAGACTCCATCGTTCTCCATTCAACCAGCAAGTAGGCATCAAAGATCAAATATCTCTACAGATATGAGTTTCATAATTGCAAAGTAAGTTTCAGTGTCCATTAACTATTTAAGCCAAAATTAAACAATCACGCACAAGTCGAAGAAACGGAAGTCCTTTTCCAAAGAGTAGTTGTCCTTGGGGGTTTGCGAGTTCGATTGGGTTTGTTGAGCAGCCATTGTTTGAGTGGTGGGTGTAGCAGGCCAGGGAATGTGAGTATATATGCTGATTTCGTGGGATTACCTCCTACTACTAGTTTGAGCCATGACAATGAGAATCGAGTGGTACTGGCTTCTATTTCTGGTAGTGACAATCGTCTACAAATATTATCAACCATTCCAAATTTGAAATTCACCAACAAACATGCTGCAAATCACTTACTGGTGGCTAAACCGTATTGTTAGTTGTTTCTTTTTGTGTAGTTGGTCTTATCACGTGACCTCCCCATGGCGCCCCCTCACTACGCGGTAATCCATCGTCCCTCCCATCATTCCAAACACACACGCGTTCTTCCCTTGTCCCGTCTTCCCCAGCTTTCACGCTATCTATAGTCTTGTACGAGTATCGTGGCCGTGATATTCTACAGTTTTAGAAACTCCCCCCGATCCGCCCGTATCTCGTTTTGTACCGGTGAATGCCCGCGATCGGAAGGCGTGTTATCCTGGCAATGACCCTTTCCGCTCGCGTTTCCCGCCCCGCCATCGAAACCGACCCCCGTGTCATTGCCGTGATCGAGTCCTGCAACTGGGACGACCTGTTTCTGAGCCTGGAGCTGCTGTTTGAGTTTTCCGACGACGACGAGACCCTCATGCGCCACTTGGCCAAACGCCCGTGTATCCGATCACAACTGGCACCCCCGATGAACCCGAAATTCAAACCGCCGGTGAAACTGCCAGAGAAAGTGACGAAACTATCGCAACCGTTACACAAGTCGCCGCCAAAGCTAAAATTGACCCAACTTGCACCAATGACAAATAAACCGTTTAAACCACCGAGAATCACTCTGCTGCCAACAAAACCATCTCAAATAAACCACCACAAGTTGCTGCCAACAAAACAACCTCAATCAGACACCAAACCGTCCCACACGGACTACCAGAAGTTGCTTTCTCAGCTTGATGATGAGTTTACTTCGTCGCCTCCTTCATCACCAACACGACCGACCACCACTCTGCTACGATCACCAAAGAATGTAACGCCAAACAACCAAGCACAACAAACACCAACACTATCACAAACTGTACCGAGAATGTCACCACAAGCAAAGCTATCACAGGCGTTGAATTCATCTCCACCGGTTCCCAAATCATCCCCACAGGCCTTGAAAGCATCCCCACAGGCCTTGAAAGCATCCCCACAGATTTTAAGAGCATCACAGGCGCCACACTTATCCCCTCCTCGACCACTACCCACTACCATCACAGCAAAACCGACACTGCCGCTTCGCCAAGTACTCGGAGCGGTATTCTCGCCATCACCACCTTCAACCAAACCCTCCGATATCTACACTAGCATGTTTGGTCAGCAAATCACCCGCCTGCGACAGCAACAAAAGAGAACAACTATTGATCTTTCGTCCTCCCCTCCAAGCAGAGCCTATTCGACAAAGGCTAACGCTCATATCTTTCTTTCCACTCAAAAGGCTCCTGTCCCTACTACCGCTACTACTGAACATGGAGAACTTGTCGCTCCTCTTACTAAAGTGAAACGGCCCATGATCCTTTCACCGGAACAGGAATACATTCTTCATAAAGTGCTTAGCGGTAAGTCCCTTTTTTATACGGGGCTGGCAGGTACGGGTAAGCTGGTATTGCTTCGTGAGATCATTAAAGTGCTTCGACTGCTGCGTCCCGGGGTAGCCGTCACCGCCCTGACGGGGCTCGCTGCGTGTAACATTGGTGGTATGACTCTCCACTCGTTTGCCGGTGTCGGTCTCGCTAAGGAACTGGTCCAATCATTATACAAAAAGCTCCATCGCAACCGTAAGGCGAAAAACCGGTGGATGACCACGCAAGTGTTAGTGATTGATGAAGTGTCGATGGTCGACGGAGAGTTCTTTAATAAGCTTGATGCCCTCGCCAAGAAAGTACGCAAACTGCTGGAACCGTTTGGCGGTATTCAATTAGTGCTCTGTGGTGATTTCTTCCAATTACCCCCCATCACCAGACGCGAGGACGATGGCGAATACCCTGAGACGAAATTTGCGTTCGAAAGTGAGGCCTGGCTCGGGGCAATCACCCACACGTATACCCTTACCGAAGTGTTCCGTCAACAATCAGATCAACAATTTGTCGATATATTGAATGAGCTTAGATTGGGCCAAGTGCTGCCGGAAACTGAAGCTGAGCTTAAACGACTTTCTCGTCCTTTAAAGTCGGTGGGAGGCATTGAACCGGCTGATTTACACCCGAGAAGAGCCGAGGTTGACCGTTCAAACAACTCTCGACTCGCTCTGATTAAAGGCGAGACCCAGGTGTATAATTGTGTTGATGCTGGTTCCCTCACCGGAGAGCAAAGAGCGAAAGTGCTTGGTAACATGCTTGCGCTGCCGAGACTCGTATTGAAACGTGGGGCTCAGGTTATGTGTATTAAGAACATTGATGACACTTTAGTCAATGGTACGTTGGGCACCGTCATCGACTTTGTTGACCGGGAAACCTATATGAAACTGCTGGGCATCGCTGAAGACGATGAAGACGATAGCGACTTTGTCCAGCCTTTAATCTATTCCGATGAGCCGCTGCAGCCGTGTGCTGAGCGTGACCCGACATTAGTGTCTGAACAATATGCCGCTCACGGTACTGAGCTCGCCCTGGCTAAACTGGACCAAGTACTTCCATTAGTTCAATTTAGAACTAATGACGGTAATTTCCGTTACCATTTGATGGAACCTGAAAAGTGGCTGGTGGAAGATGAAACTGGTCACGTACTTGCGCTGAGACTGCAAATCCCCTTGATCCTTGCGTGGTCGCTTCTGATCCATAAATCACAAGGACAAACGCTCCCTTTGGTGAAAGTCAATTTAGCCCTGTGCTTCGAAATGGGCCAAGCGTACGTGGCGTTATCGCGTGCGGTATCTCGTGAAGGGCTCCAAGTTATCGGATTCAGTCGTGACCGTGTCAGATGCCACCCGAAAGTGCTTGAGTTCTACCTGAATTTGGACCGGGCCAATGCTCCTAGGAAGCGCACTTCAAGACAAGCAACCCTCCCCTTCGACTCGTAAAAGGAGAGAGAGAGTCGTGGACGTTTATAAACATAATTGCATAGAGATAATCTTGAGACGTGGAGCAGATTAAATCAGAATCAACGTATTTTGACGCCAACTACATGATGTTCTCTTCAAGTTGATACCTTAAATTATATTGCTTTGTTTGTAGTGGCTATCGTTCGAGAGACTACTCAATTTCGTAATCCTCCTTCCATAAACCTCATTCATGAAATAAAACAACGATTGTTCTTCAAGACGGAAAACAACTAGTGTTCTTGACTTCGGTCTATGACTTAAAGTCCGCAGCATCTCCGCGTACCAACAAAACTACCATCACTGTGATACTCATGTCAACCTTAACGGTTAGCATCATTGCCCACCATGAATCAGGTAGTAACCACAAATCCTTTGAAATGTTTAAATCGAGTAGTCATGGCACAACTTTGGGTATCTTCTTACCTTCGACGCGACAGAAGATCGTCCTTTTACCCGGTCCCTGTTTCTTCTCATCAAACTCTTTTTCATCAGTGTGACAGCTACCCGCCTTAGGCCCCTTCAGGTTATTCTTGCCCAGTTTGGCGTCAATAGTAAATACGTGGAGGTCCCATTTGCCGTCGTCGACGCGGTAAGCATCGAGCTGAATGTCTCGGTTTTGTGGTAGTCCGAATGTGAACGCTGCCTCGCTGTTATAGGTCAATCTCGCCTCGGGTTCCTCCTTCGCTTTCGCCGCTAGCTTATCCCAATCGTCGCCGTTATCGAAGGCATAATGAAACCGGTCCCAGGGCTTAGTGTTGTCCACCGCTAACACGAAGATGGCTGGATTATAAATAGCGAAATTCTCCTCAGCATGAACGTAGGAAGCAAGCCACAATGCTGTTAATATTGTATATAATTTGAGCGAGGTCATGGTGGCTTTAACTGGCGGAAGCGGGGAGCGAGGGCTCATCATCTTAAACCGCCGAGAAACACAGAGAGCGCGACCCCGCAAAAGGAATGTGGACCGTATTCAATACGACCTCTTATCGTGAAATACCGGGTGTTGTAGTTATTGAGGAGAGCCTAGTATCAGAATAATTTACGTTGTCAAGTCAAATTAACACGTACAAAACAGACTACAAAAGTTCTTTTTTTTTTTAACTTTTTAATGGAGGTTAAACGCCTTTTTAATGGAGGTTAAACGCCGCGTCGAATCTTCCAAGCGAACGGCTAACATTGTTTATCCTCGTGGGTGGTTCGCGTTTGCACGCGTAGCCGAAAATACTGGCCGCAGGAATACGACAGGCACGCCCAGAGACAGAACTTTCTCACTCCCTGCTGTAATTACTAGGTGTAGACACCCCACGTGATCCACGTCAGTGATATGTCACGCGCAGAAAAAAAGGTATGCTGCAGTACTGCACACAATCACCAATTCTTGCCTTAACAACCCGATGAGATATCGATCCTTAGTTGCGGTATCGACCCTCGTTGATTTCGTTTATTTACTCTATACTGTTTGATTTGTCTTGCCCTTGAAGTCCTAATATTCCCCACATCCACGTTGCCGATTCTTACGAGGCTCATTATGATAGCGAAATCTACCAATCCAAGAGATTAAGAATCGCTTGAACTCGCAACAAGCTACCATTAATGCTCTTAAAACTGATGTCAACGAAACATCGCAAATGATTTCGAGACATCTCGCTGAAGTGAAGGGAATGATGCAATCTCTCTACGAGACATACCTCGGGTATAATCCCAATGATCCAAACTCTCAGCTCATGCGTGTTATGTCTGACAATCTCCTTGACAGAAACTCAACTAGCGCTGGTCAAACGATAAATTTTGTTGAGGTTATGATTCATTATATTAACAACCTTGCTACCACCGATGCGCAGCGGGATGAGTGGTGGGAGAAAACCACCATGTTGTTGCCAATTGAGATCAACAAAGGCTATGAGCGGGGTGTCACCACGGAACAAGATCAGAAAAACCTTAAAACGTACTTGCAGTATCTTCTTGAACGTCAACGGTCACTTCGCCATATCAAGTTCATCATCTCCCGCAACCGGTTAACCGATCCGGTGTACGTGCACCATACCAAAAACGCCGTTGACCACATATTTGAATTTGCTACCGCCAGCCCCTGGGACATAACGGTGAGGAAGTTGCAGAATATGTTTCCTCCAGGTTATACTATTAACGGCGAACCTGTCGTTGCCAGAATCCATCTCATCACGGCTAACTACCGCGAAACGATCAGTTAAGCGAGCTCGTTGGTGTGAGGGAACAATTCTCTCAAATCATTGATGATGCCGTCAATGAAGAGAAAGCTGCTACAGAACGGCAGAACCGCACCCACAACCATCATTTTGATCAGGGAGACCCGAGTGAACTTCCACTCCGAGGTTTGGAAACCCTCAGATTACACCCTCAAGCCAGGCCACGCAGCAACTCGTTAGTGTTGCAGGTGTCGGTCTCACGGGGTATGCACAAGCACTGCTCATGGATATGCAACTGCACTTACCACCAACGATGGAAGAAGTAACATTCTACGGCTTGTAGCTCGATGATGATTCCGTTTCTAATCTCGATAGCTGAATAGTAGTACTTTGCAATGGCGATGAACTTTTCGAGTTGAATAGCCCTGATCTCTTATGTCCCGGAAACCACTTGCGAGAAAGATACAGAGTCTCACATTGGTGCAGGCCAATTCCCACCTGATGGCGGTGCACAAGTACATAGTTCAGATACCGATTCTGAGTTGAGATAGCGTTAGCGTTTATGATAAATGAAATATGAAGTGTCGAGGCTTTCGAGTTGACTGTGAAGCTTTGCCAGCCGGTTACATCCTGCATATACCAACACGCGCCACTCGTCTAAGATGTTGTTATCAATTTTTTTGTTCCTGCATACTGCGCCGCTCGTGAAGAAAATTATTTCAAATTTTTTTTTCAAGTTTTTTTTTTCAATTTTGTTTTCTTTCGGAAACAACTTCTAGTTGCTATTATACATATATTTGAGTTGTGCAGATCATAAATTTTGATTCAAAACTCACTTGATTTGATGAGAATCGGCATTGCCAGAATCCTCAGAATAACCTGAGAGGTTATCGAATTGGTTCTC